CTTCAAACTCAAAAATTTTTTCCTGCGGCGCTGAGGTTTTTTAAATACGATTGGTTAAAAACAAGAAAATATAATTATTTAAAAAATAAAAATGAAGAACGTTTTTCTTTTAAAAATTTAATTGTAAAATATTTAAATTCAGAAGAGGAAGTAAATTATTATTTAATATCTAAAACATGGTCAGATATTCTCGAGAAATAGAAATTACTGAAAATAACATACCGTATTTTCTCGATTAATTCCCCTGGGGATTTATTTTTTCAACCCTTCCTTGGCATGGGGAATTAATCGAGGGAGGAGAATTATTAGAGTTTTGGCATTTGAACGTGCAGTAGGGTATTTGGTGGTGGGGAATTATTGTTTCAACCCAACTCTAGCATGGGGAATTATTCGAGGGAGGGGAATTAATTGAGAAAATACGGTATATTCGAAGACTTAATTAATTAACGTACGTATTTCCTCTAAAAGAATTTCTCCTCTAATAGAATCCTCCCCCCCCCCATTTTTATTAATGAAAAAACATACATTTAAATAAAGAATAACATATAAATAATAACATTTAATAATTTTAGTTAAAAATAAAATTAATTAATTAAAAATAGCTAGCCAGAGAAAACATTTAAGAAAGAATATTTTTACCAAGAAAGAATATTTAAATCAATGCTATTATTTAAATCATGTGTCTAATAAATTAAAAATGCCTAGCCGCCATATCGAAATTTCGATATTAGATTTCCCTGTTTTTTTTCTTTTGATTTGCAATTTCAAAATTTTGAAAACTTTGAATTTTGCGCTAAAAAACAAAGTAAAAATTTTTAACTTTAGTACTGTAGTTATAAAGACAGTTAGAAATTTTTAATTTCCGAACACTAGTTTTTTTCAATTTCTTTCAATTTAATTTCAAAATCTTCTCCATCATCTTCTTCAATCATTTTAATAAACTCTTCTTCTTCAATTTCAATTTTATGTGTTAATTTACATAATTTAATATCTTCCAAATAATTAATTTCAATATTTATAAATCTTTTTCTTTGATTTTTTTGTATTTTTATTTTTTTAAATTTGTTTGGCAGATTCTTTTGAATATAGAATTTATTCGAATTATAATCAAGAAAATAATTTTCGAGCGTTCTAATTTTATACTGTTGATTTGTTTTACATTTTGCTATTCTTTTTAACTCTACTCCAATCAAAATTAATGGCTTTTCATTCAAATAAACATCAAACATTTTGACTGAAAATATTTATTAAAGTCGGATCTAAATTATAAATCCTATTGGGATTGGAAAAATTGCAGATCTTTATGTAAATCTAGCAGGGCAGAGGATGTGCTCTGGAATTTTGGGATTTGATTGTATAGTGAAAAGGAAACTTTTGGAGTGAAAATCTGGCATAATCTTGTATACCAGATTAGACTATACAGGTAAATGTCCAGTTGGCGGTATACATGTCCGCAAACTCTGCATCGTGTTTTGTTATGACCTTAATTTGTCTGGGCTGTATTTTGGTATAGAGCTCATTTACTGAATCAAAAAAAATAACCTGAATTTTTCGTTGGATTTTTGCTTTTTATTTTATTAAGATCCGTTTTAATCGTTTTGAATTTTATGCCATTTACTCTGTATTCATTTCTCGTGTTCTTTTATTTAAAATTAAATATTAATTAAAGGTAATAGTATTCGTTAAATCAGGGGGTACTGTGTCGAGGTTCATAAATTTAAACCTTTATACCGAAAAGTAATGTGAGTTCATATGTACTTATACAAATTTTTAGACACCCTTGAAGCAATTTTATATAAAATTGAGGTTTCCAAAATTGTGGGTATAGATTAGGTCACATAAATCAAAAAATACTCTAAATTATGTTCCATAAAAATTATGTTACGTTGGAAATCGGAAACATTCATCGGCCGTATAGATTTTGTGATAAAAGGGCTAACACTTCTTGGGCCCGTTCAAATAATGGAGAGTACTGGGTATTTAACAGAGTCTACACAAATTTGGTTTACAGATCCGAAGCCGAAAGATAATATTTGTATTTAGATCAGAGATTCCTTTTATTAGCGCCGTAATCGAAAGTTTTTAGCATTTGGAAAAAATCTTTATTTGGAACAATGCATTGAAAGTCATCAGAGACCGGCAATTTAAAGTTCGAAAGTCGGAAATATTTATAAATCGGAAGAAAAAGTCGGAAAATGGAATTCCGACCGAACTCTGCGGAGCAGAGGTTCGTTAATTTTTAAATTTTATCGTCTATCGCAATTTTCCATTACATATAAATGAAGGCGTAATACTTACTCCTATCATTTTCTGAAAATTTTTAAATTAAATAAACTTTAAAAATAAAAACTTACACGCATCTGATTTTCTTTAAAATCAAATTCATTAGCTAATTCAGTAATATCATCATCAGTATACGGCAGACCATAACCAAATTTTTCTAATTTTATTTCCTAAAATTTTCTTTTAATTTTAAAATAAATATTTAATAAAAACAAACATATTTTCTCAATTCAATTAACTTTCCTCCTGTTAATTATTTTATTTTAAAAAGTTTTAAAAAACATAATTCTATGTAGTATACAGCAGGGGTGTGCGAGTTTCGCCTTTCGCCGATTTTCGCCTTTTTTTGACTTTCGTCTTTCGCTTTTTCGGACGAAAGGCGAAATCTTATTAGCATATTTATTTTTTAGATTACATACTAGAGTTTCACCGGAAGTTCCGGTTCCGGAAGGTTCCGGTGTTTTTTTTGGTTACGGTTCCGGTCAAAATTTCGGTCCCGGTAAAACACTATTACGTACATTTTTAGAATACATTTTTTAGATTATATGTATATTTATTTTTTAGAAATAAACTAACCTTCAATTTTAATCTTTTCCTTTAAATTATCAATTTGTTTTTTAATTTTTATTTTTTCATCTTCATTATCCAATATTTTTAATTTTTCCGCCAATAATTCAATTTTATATGCAATTAAATTAATTAAATCCCAATAATTATTTTGTAATTTTTCTTTGTAATATTTTATTTTTTCTTTTACTGATTTTTTTGTTAATTTAGAATTTTTCATATATTTTTCTAAAATAGAGATTTCTTTTTTATATCTTAGTACCTTTCTTTTAGACATCTTAAATTGTAAATTTTTATTTTTTTTTAATTCTTAGTGATTCTTATTTCTTACCTAGGTAATTTCTACGTAACAAGTTAACAAGGGGGATTTCAGGAGGTATTGAGGGGATTACGAGCAGGGCCGTAAAATAAGAACTCGGTCACATGATGATGGTTACCTGACCATGGTCCCACAAGGTTAACCTTACAACCGTCTTATTTTACCGGCAAAAACCGCCGAATTACCCTAACATGGTTTCGAGTTGGGCAGCACTCGGTACTTAACATTTGTAGCTCCAACCAAAATACTAAATATTTAAACACCTGTTTTGGTAAATAAACAATTATCTCATCGACAATGTTATTTTTATTTATTTCTATTTCTGGAGAATATCTAAACATGTCTCTAGATATTAAATAATAATTTACATCCTTTTTTGTATTTAAATATTTTGCAATTAAATTTTTAAAAGAAAAACGTTCTTCGGGGTTTTTATTTTTTAAATAATTGTATTTTCTTGTTTTTGACCAATCGGAATTAATTTCTAATTTGATTGTTCCATTATTAGCCAACTTGTTAGAATTTTTCAAATAAATTATAAATAAAAGAAAAAATATATTAATAATATTCATTTTTATTTAACTAAATAATTTTATTTAAAAATTAATATTTAAAAATTGCCCGACAGTTATGTTAATTTCAAAATACTTGCCATCGTATACATAGGATTGATTGGGCGTCAAATGAATTAAGTGTCATGCTTATGCACTTTATTAAAAACAAGTGCGCTTTCCTTTTATCTTTTTTTGGCATTATCATTTGAATTTGTACTATACTTTATTTTGTACTATATTGTGTTTTGTAATATGTACTACACCTCTTTATAATGTCGGAAAATTGTATTTCAAAAAAATAATTTTTAAACTTAAAAAGGCAGGAGAGCAATAACCTCATTCTCTCGAATAATCTCCAATTCTTGGGGTTAGTTGAAATAGTCAGATCTTGTTTATACGTCACCTATGTCTGACGCTAGGAGTTAGACTAACATATTTACAATGGGATAATGTCTAGACAAGAATACTTAAGCAAAAAATCTCTAGCTGAGGAAATGGCGAGTTTTTAATTTAAGAATTGTAAATTTTAAATGTATTTAAGAAAATATATTGCAAAACTACTAGAGACCGGAAATCTTAGAAAACCCTGATCCAGAGTCAAGGAAAAATCAAGGGGAAAATCTCTAAAAATTACCCAAATAAATTAAATCAAATAACTTTACGAAAACCATTTTTATCAATGTTTTACCAATAAATATATAGAAAGTTTAGAAAATTTGTTAGTACGCGTAAATAAAAAGTAAAGAGGACCAGAAATTTTTGAAGTGATTAAACCACAATATTTTTATGAAGGGGAAAATATTTTAAAATAATTTTTAAATCAAAGTAAATAACCTAATAAAAGCATGGGTATCTATTTTATGTCACAAGGAGCTTTTGTTAGGGACAGGGCTTTTATTAGGATAGTACGGTATATAAACTGGCCAAACTATGTAGCAAGGGCGAATCCAGAGGATCTGATGGGGTTGGAGCCTCGCCTCCTCCAAAAATGGGAAAAAGAAAAGTGTGAAGAAAATTATCAAAAAAGTGAAATAAACATGATCAAAAGGATCAGGGGGGTCGATCTCAGGAGGGTTAAAATTGGGTTTCCAACCAAAACATTAGAAACGCCCATCTGAAATTTTTTTGAATGCACCCTTGCTATGTAGTAAATATTGAAGTGAATAAAAGAAAAAATGAGCACAAAAGAATGATCTAAATAAATAATTTATGAAAGGCGCCCTAAAGTTTTTTTGGTGATTCACATTTTATATTTAATAAAAAGAAGACTAAAACCCTCAAAACCCGCAATTAAAACTTGATAATTTAGAAGTTAAAGTGACTAGAACAGTAAAAATCACAGACAATAAAATTAATGCAGATATAGATTTTTTAGTTGCCGAAGACGGGACCTTAAAATTAAAAATATTTAAAATTGTTATTTTATTGTACCTCAGAAATACAAGCTTCTAATTCTTCCAAATTAAGATTTTCAATAACACAAATATAAATTTTTCTAGAAAATAATTTTTTAAATTTAATTAAAATATTTTTAATTCAAGTTTTGAAGTATTAATGATAAAATGAACTTTTCGAAATGCTTTTCTTTTTATGGGAAAATTTAAATTTAAATACACATTTCTATGGCCCGACATTTATGGATACAAAAGATATAAATGGTTGTCTCAGGCACGGTCTAATTATTAAACCGGAGTTCTGCAATACCAACAAGCCAAAAGTTAACGAAAAATAAAATATTTAACAATATTTTTAGGGGTAAATGACTATTTTTCACAATTTAAATATTAAAAAAGTTATTTAAAAACCTGTCAATATTTGCATTATCTCCATTTCCATTCATCACTCTATTATAACGAACATACGAATTAAAAAGTGTATCATTTTTTGCAAATTGCTCTGCCAAATAATTCATTTCATTTGCATCAAAAGTTTTAAGCCCGTAAACTTCACTCATTGAATATTCCAAAACTGTTTTTACTTGATTAGAACCTTTTTGGTTTAATTCATCCAAATTAACATAAAAAGTTCTTAAAAAATTAATTTAAATAAATTTTTTTAATTTTATGGCTCTAACAGGATTAAAATTTAACAATCGATTTATCTCGTATAATTATCCTAAAAGCCAAAAACTTGCAAAAATACAGAGACGTGAAAATTGGAAAATTATAGGGTGACCAATTTCAGATTTGGAGTAAAAAATTCGGCTATAATAAATGATAATCGATTTAGTAGAGCCTGTCAAGCTGACCAGCTCGACGAGAGGAAACGATTGGAATATACTTTTAATCCTGTTCTTGCGACCAATGCACGGATAAAACGGGTTAAAAAGTCGGATCGGGTTTTCAAACATTTCTCGGGCGGGTTTCGTGTCGAAAAAAAGCCCAGATTTCGGGTAACCCGTCTATCCCTGGTCAAGTGTACTATAGAGACTTATTAATAGTAAAAATTTCAAAAAAAACCTAATATCTTTAATATCAAAATTAGTCTTATCATAGTCAAAAACACGAAAAGCTGGATTGTTTAAATCAAACATCGGAGTTATAGCTGGATTTAAAAACATTCGTTGTACGGGTTTTCCATTTGAATCCTTTTAAAAAATTAATTTATTTTTGGTTAATTAATAATTAAAAGTTATTTTCGATGCAATCCTTGTAAGTCAAAACTCTAGGAGGTTGATTTTGGGGGGGGGGGGGGCTAACATGAGGTGAACGGCAAAATTTTAGTGTCATTTTGTACCTTTTTTAGTGTCATTGGATCATCGATTTACTAAAAAATTTTCTATCTTTTTAACTATCGATATGAACCTAAAAAGTTTTGGGGCTTCAAAGTTTGCGAAAATTGATGGAGAAAAGGAATTTCTAATTGAAAAGAATTTTAAATTTTCGTTATTAATGCATTTATTGCCTTCTAAAATAATTTAAAAAAACCTTCAAAATTCTAAAAGTATCAGTATGTAAATGTCCAAACAACATAAAACCAATAGAATCTGCATATTTTGTAAACAAGTCAATTAACCGTTTATTGTATTGTTTTGGCATTTCAACTTGCCATTCTGTCTTGTCAGAATTAAAAACATAACCTTCAAAAAATGTTTAGTTTGATTAGAATTTTTAATTAACGCACGAATACTACCCCCTGGTGGAACGTGCCCAACAATATTTATTTTTCCATTTTTTGATTTAATTTCAGCCAAATGTCTTTCAATAAATTCGAATTGGCCAGTTGGGTCTTCTGGATTTGTAAAATTTTCAATTGCAGTATTTATTACATAATAAATATTTGTGTTCAAAACTAAATATTCAGATCCGTCCAATGGAGATTTAAAATAATAATATCCACCACGCAAAAAAGTTTCCTTAAAAATTAAAAATTTGATTTTAAGTAAAAAATAGTTTGTCTATAAAAATCTAAAATTCGGAAGCCAAATAAATTGATAAAAGCTAGTTGTTGTCATAAACGAATTTGCCACATTTTGCCTTCACGAATAGGGTTGACGGTTTCACCAAATTCTTGTTAACCGAAACCGAAAATCTTCGGTATTTGGTTCGGTTCGGTTTCAAACCGACAACCCTATTCACGAACATAAAAGGGAGGACCAATGGATTCAGTCCAGTTGTCACCTAATAAAGTCGGACAGGTCTGCTGAAAAAATTTTAAAGACGATCTGGCTCTTCGGTTAGGTTCGCCCCTTGGTTTTGCGGTTGGGTCCGCAGATAGAGTATTAGAGTTAAAAAATGTTATAATGAATATTTTTTTAATCCGATTAAGAACCTTAGGTTTATCACCAATCCATCCCTTCCAAAGATCATAAATTCCTTGATACATCCCTAATTGTTCTGCATCATCAGGAAATGAATTAGAAGGTTCCATATCATGATTACCCAAAATTGGGATGACTAGGACATCAGAAAATCGTTGTTTTATAGAATCGGTAACAGTCCTCATTGTATTAATAAATTCTAAAAAAATTATTTTTGATTTTCTATTTTTAAAACCTTTTTGTGTATATTTTATATGAGCCGCAGTGTCGCCAGTCCATATAATAAAATCAGGTTTTGGAATATGCCTCTTTGCTTCATCTAACATATAATCAACTAATTCCTAGAATTTTAATAAAAAAATTTTTTTTTAATTTTGATATCAATTTTTGAATTGGGAAAAAACATATGTTGAAGCTTGGACCGAATCGGTAATTTCATTTTTTATCTAACAAACTGAATCAGTCCTCTTGGTCAAACTCTAGTTTAGAAAAATGAAGAGACTAGTCAACAGTAACAGAAAAGCCTTCTCCACGTTTAGAACGTATCGGGCTAACTCACGGAACGGAAAAGTCATGGAACGACAAGTCACGAAATGAACAAAACACGGAATAATTTAGAAATCGGAATTTTTTGAAAAATCTGAATATTTTAAAAAACAGAATTTAAAAAATTTTTTGAAAAATTCTGATTTCTAAGAATATTATGATTTTTAAAATATTCCGTGTTTTGGTCATTCCGTGACTTGTCGTTCCGCGATCTTTCTGTTCCGTGAGTTGGAATTCCTCAAGTTAGCCCCCACCCGTTTGGAAAACATTTAAGCGAGCAATCCAAAAGCATTTTCTAATATAAAATAAAATTTAAACCGGTGGAGAGTCACATTTACGATCACCATATGTCCCAATAGCATCCTTTTCTCCTGCGTCTCTGGTCTCTTTTGGTGTTTGATTTCCACTATTTTCATCTAAATGACACATTTCTGATCTATTCCCATTTTTGTTATATTTTTCATCAATGTGAATATCAGTTATAACAAGAAAGTTCCCATTTTGATTGGAATTAGAAGAAGCAAAAGAAAATAGGAATAATAAAATTGAAAGAAGAAAATAATTCATAAAGGGAACCAGAAGACGCAAGTATCCTTTAAAAGTTCAAAAATTATAAAATAATTAATACAGTAGGTGAAAAAAAATTACTAAATTAATATTAAGGGGTTGCTGTGCGCCATAAATTTCTCATGTGCGCAAAAAGACAAACGCAAATAGGAAACGCTTAAGAGTAGACGATTCAGAGCCTCAATTCAGAATACCCTGTTAGTGCTAGGAATTTTGACAAAACCTCGACTGTGAATTAATTGGAAGGAGACCGGGAAGGACCTGGGGAACCGGGATTTCTCAGTTTCAATTTTTCCGATCCAATAATGATCGAAATCATAGTGGGAAATATTAGTATGAGAACACTGTGCATTTATATTGTGTAGGAAAATAACGAAAATGTCCATGACTTAAAACCAAGACTACACCCCAAATCGCGAGACAATGCCTAGGACTTTACCACAGACTTAAGACCAGTGCTGAATATGGGACTTTTTGGGGGCACTGGCTTTGACTATTTCAAAATCCTTGCTCAGGCCCATGTCATTCTCTGAAAAATCCATCTTATAATTGTAAAGCATAAAGCTATTTATTTCCTAAGACTGCAGTAGGCGGCGTGGTGTAATGGCATCAGTCCGGCCTACTGAGTAGACCGGACTGATGGAACACATCAGTCCGGTCTACTGAAGATGCCGCCGATTAACCTTTTTCACTAGCTAAAGGAGAGAAATAGCTATAGCCCAGCTGCGTTACTTAATGTATGAAAGATCAGAAGCTTAGTTTCCTAAATATTGAGATGTGCTACAAACATTTTCGCGTACATAGACTTTAAAAAATAAATTAAGTTTATTTCGAATTATAAAACTTTTAAATGAATGGGTTTAAAAAAGCTTAAAATAAACTCTATTCAAACAAAAAGAAAAATTAAAATTTAATATTGCTTTATAATTTTAAATGACACACTCGTATGATTAAAATCAATTAATCGACATCATCCACGTTTAGTTTTGGGGTATTACACGTAGTTTTTAAATGTATTAACTGATTGTGAGAATAGAAACAACATAAAAAATGGTAAAAATGTTAAGCGTTGGCTATAGGGTAAAATGAAAAGTTAAAGAGATTATAAAATGGAATGTTTTATGGGAGCAAGTACATACACATATTTTATTGTTTAGCAAATAGTTTCGGAATTTATTATCAATATATTGATAGTCTAGGGTAATGTGAATTAAAACAAAATTTTATAAATGTGTCAAAATTCACTGAATAATAAAACAAAGCTTAAAAAAATTTTTATTTTTGGACATCCATAATTTTCAAAATAAAGAAAAGTCGCTTGTTTATTCTTTGATTTTTTTCAATTTCTTTCGATTTTTGGTTGATTTTTCTTTTCGATTTTCAAACTTTAACAATATTTATGTAAAGTTGTCTTATCATTTTTTAAAGAATTTATGAGTAAGAAAAATTAAAGGAATGCTGGAAATTCTTCAAAAAATGTTATTTTAAAAATTAGCCGAATATTATTGTTTAATGGTTTATTTTTAGATTTATTTTTATGAAAAAAGATAAAGCTATAATTCTATTAATTTCTAAATTTGTATGTTAGGTTAATAAATGTACAAAAAATATTTTATAAATATTTTTTTATTTTCAACTATTTTGTTCTCCTTCCAAATAATTCCTTTAGACAAATTAGATTTGTTTGAACACAAATATTTTCGTTTAATTCTACCAAGGCGTTCTCAGCTGGCATTTTTCTTCCATTTTTTGGTTTTAAATATCTCCCATTTTAATATTAAATTTCTTTTTATATTTCAAAGATTCTCCTCTAGTAAATTTTAGAAAGAACGGATCCTTCCTGATTACATAAATATTAAAAATAAAATTTCTAAATTTATTTTTAACAAATTTTTTATTTATTTCTCAATTTATTTATTTACATATTTAACCAAAAAACCAAAAAAATTGTCTACTTTTTAACGCTCCAATTTCCATTTATTTTCATAACAAGTTAAAAGCACTTTATAAATTTTTTTTATAAAAAATTGTAAAGATTTATTTGTCAATTTATATTTCTGTTAAAACCAAATTTACATAAATTATTGTTGACAATACTTTTTTTTATTTTTTAAAATAAAATTTTATTTAGTTAAATATTGTTTCCTTTTATTTTTAAAAAAATTAAGAATTAATAGACAAATAAATAATTAATTAAACAAACAAATATTTTATTAAAGCTTAGGAATTAAATGATTGATAACAAGTATTCTTGTAAATATTGGGAGACTTTGCCCGGAACTAAAATTAATTTTGGTCAAATAAATTTTAGTTTTCAGGAAAGTCTCCTAAAATTAATAAAAAAGTTGTCTGGGTATAATATATACCGTATATCCTTTAATAACTACCCTGGGTAATTATTGTTTCGACCTTCCGCTGGCGGGAGTAATTAATCGAGGGAGGGTAATTATAAGAGGTTTGAAATTTGAACGTGGTTTAGGGCTTTTGTTTGGAGGTAATTTTGTTTCAATCTATCGTTGGATGGGGTAATTAATGGAAGTGGGGTAATTATTTGAGGGAAGACAATTAATACAGGTTATACGGTAAATATACTAGAGCTGTCTCGAACTTTTGATTTTCAAATGTTTTTCCTTTCAATTCCAAATAATTCTTGTTTATTTTCTTTTAAATGTTAAAAATAAAGAAACTAAATATGAAAAACTTATTTATGTAAATAAAAGAAATAAAAACATTCTCTCATATACATAATTAGGTAAAATTTGGTAGTTATGGGAGTGTTTTTTACAGAATGTTTTTTCTGTAATCATTGTAGATATACCTACGTATTTCTTTAAATAAAAAATTTATTTTACGTCTATAATAAATTATATTTTTAATAAATTGATATTTTAAGCTTTAAGAAAAATTTTATTTAAAATTATTTTCTCATTTACAAAAAATTTACTTAGTTAATAATCGGACTGGAAGTGTCGTACAAGAATTGAGATCTCGAAAAATTCTCGATCTCAATAACCGAGATTTTCGGTCGAGATCTCGTCTCGGTCCGGTCTCTAATATATCGTCTGCTTCTATTAGAGCATTTACGGTATTTACTCTTTTATTTTTCTTAAATCTTAAAATAACTCTTCAAATTTAATTTTTGATATAATTAGCTAAAATAAACAAATTTCGTCTCTAAATTTAACATTTAAATTCTTAAATTTACTCTTTTTTAATTCGTTTATTTGCTTAAAGATTAAAAGCAACATTAATCATTTCTTCAAAAATCTTTTTATTTAATTTTGTTGCGCTATTTTAATACATTACAGTTTTTACAAAATTTGATCTTTGAACATTTTTCTGTGTTTTCCAATAAAATATTTTTTATTAAAATATTTTTAAACATAAATTAACAGAACTAATACTCATTTACAATTGAGTTAATAAGCCAATTTTTGGGGATAAATTTGTATGATAGTTTAAGTAAGGCGGCCGGCCCCACCCAGAAAATAGCAAAATGATTGAATGGAACTTGATTCTGAGGACTCTCTGATCTATTGTTAACCGTTCAAACATCCTACCTACCACCTGCTGATCGTTTTTTATTTTGTCGAAATGTTAATAATAAAAATTTTATACTACAAAATAATTTTAAATTTATCTAGAAAAAGCATTATTAAATAATATAAAATTGCCCAGATAGTTAATAAAACAACTACTAAATATTTAAAAGGTGAATCATGACAACTACTCGCTTTAGACAAACAAATGAAGGTAATAAATTGTAAATTTGTCAAATAGTTTTGAATGAATCATAAAAGAATTTCGTTAGGAACTAAAAAGTGAGTAAAGATTCTGGACAAGATTCCAAGTCTTTTCTGTTTCCTATTTTTGATTTAATTCCATTCAAACAAGGATATACCGTATTTTCTCGATTAATTTCCCTGGGGAATTATTGATATTTCAACCCATATGTGGGATGGTGAATTATTTGAGGGAGGGGAATTATTGTTTCAACCCAACTTTAGCATGGGGAATTAATCGAGAGGGGGAATTAATCGAGAAAATACGGTATGTAGACTATGCAGACCAGGAAATTTTTAAAATATCAGATTCCCTAAATATTTTATTTGAAACAATTTCAAGTTTTTTTATTAAAAAGAGTAGGGAAATAAACTAAAGAGAGATAGTAAAATTCAAAAAAATTTTTGACAAAAATTTTTTCCCATAGATTATCGCAACGCTTTCTCCTATTTTGATGTGAATAAAGATGGCCACATTACTGCCCATGAATTGGAAACGGCAATGAATAAATGTGGAGTTTACCCAACAAAATTGGAATTACGGATTATTATGAATCAGATGGATAAAGATAGTAAAAAACTTTTGAAGAAAAATATTTTTCTTTAAAAAATTAATTAATTAGAGAATGGACTAATAACTTTTGACGAATTTGCTGCAATGATGCGTATACAAGAAAAAGCACAAATTTCACACAGAATACAATGCCAAAAACGAATAATTAATTTGTCGAATGAACAACCAGAAATACGGCAAGAATTACTTGCTCAATTTCGTCTTTTCGATAAAGTAAAAGATTCGAAAAAGTTTAAAAAATTTTGTTTTTATTTAAAAGGACAATGATGGGTTTATTTTACCTGAGGAAATGAAGAAATTGATAAGTGAACTTCGATTGGGAAAGAACTTCCCGGAAAGTGTTGTGGATCAGGTAAAATGAATTTGATTAGAGAAAAAAGCTACTTTGAAAACTATATTAAATCGGAAGATATGGGTTACCGTAAATGCTGAAATAATGTCCCTCTCTCAAATAATTACCCCCTCCCTATTATTTACCCCCTCCAGCGAGAGGTTGAAACAATAATTACCCTGGGTAATTATTTTAGCAAATACAGTAAGTTCCTAAAATCAGCAGATGTAAATGACAAGGAAAACTTAGTTTGGCTACAAAGTCGAAACCCGTGACTAAAAATTAAATATTTTCAATTTATTCTAGAAATTAATTTTATTCTTTTAGTTATTCTTGGAGGCAGACGCAGATGGTGATGGAAAGATAAGCTTTGAAGGTAAATTTTTATTCGAGAAAATTACTATTTAATATTTGTTTAAGAATTCGTCATGGCAGTCGTTTGAAGAGAAGAAACGAAAATATATGTATAATAAAGATACTCATCAAATTATTAATTTCTATTAATACTAGGACAGCACTTCTTTTTATCCAATCCTTTTATTAAATCTTTTAAAATATGATTACAATAAATATAAAAATCCCTATCAATCCCCTTGTAAACGATAAAAACTTTTGTAATCATAGGGCATTGAGTTACCGTATTTACTCGATTAATTCCCCTCCCTCCAATAATTCCCCTCTCTCGAATAATACCCCCTACTACGGATAAGTTGAAACAATAATCCCCCTCCCCCAAATACCCTACTACACGATCAGATTTCAAAACTCAAATAATTCCCCACCCTTGAATAATTATCCATGCCACGGATGGGTTAATCGAGTAGATACGGTATATGGTAATTCATACTTTTCCTGAATGGATACAAGTTTGTATGAAATGCGAAAAAAATAAATTTTCAAACTAGAAGGAAGAACATCTACATATTGTAATATTTCTTCGCATTTCAAAATTTATTCATTTTACTTTTTCTATGTTGCTCTCTCCTATATGTAATTTTGCATTTTTCCAATGTTTTATAAATAAAAATCAGAGCTGTTTTTCACTGTTTTTCCCAACTAAAATTTATTTTTATATTAAAAAAGGGTTTTTTTTCTTGAATTCTTTTTATTTTCCTTATATTGTCATAGGTACTACTATTTGAGAAATTCGAAAAATAGTAGTAACAGGTGGGGACGTACACACACATACACTTATCCAAATAATGAAATAAATCAATATAAAAAAATGAAATTCGCTAGTTTTTTATTTTTACTTTATTAAAATGTAAATATTTTTAAAATAAATTCAAGATTAAGTAATTTTAATTTATTTTAAATTAAAATAACCAAGTTGTTTTTACTTAATTTTGACAAAAAACATGTATGTAGTAAATAGTGGTAATTTTCCGTTATACGACCGCAAACTGAGTACCAACCGAATTTGATCGGTTATAACTTTTTAATGACTGATCATATTTGATCTATCTTGTTAGAAAAAATATAGAGGTTATCGGGGTCTTTCGATTGATATAAAATTTATTTTTATTGGATCAAGCATTAAAAAGTTAAAGTCGATCAAAATCAGTTGAAAAAAGTACCTAAATATATAAAAAAGTACCGGAAAAGTACCGAAAATATTTCCTTTTCGACTACAAAATTAAGAAATTAATGACAGCAGGAAAAAACCCTTAATTTAATTAACAAAAATTTTTTAAACCTATTTATTCTAGTAAATAGGGGTTAATTCCCAAACTCCCCACCCATATCTACAAACATAAATATTCTATATTTTAATAACATTTTTACTAAAATTCCCTAACAACTTTATATTTTAATTTTTAAAATTTTTTTATTAATGGCCCCAACAAAACGAAAAGCAGATACTTCAGAAGATCGTCCATCTTCTTCAATATCTGATATATCTTACTCCTCAAAATCCCCTACAGATAAACAGCAACAACAACAATCACCCTCAATCACCAAAAATAGTATTTATAAAAAAAGAGGGCAGAGATTTGTAGTGGAAGATTCTACAAGTATGGAGAAGTGTGTAATTATATTGTTTATTTTAATGGGGGGGGGGGGATTTCTCATACGATTATCAAAAGATTTCTATTTTGGGAATTTATAAAATTTATAATTTTTAAAGATAGAAATTCTTTGTTATTTCATGATTTTTAATTTTCTGAAACAAATTTCTATTAGTTTTTCCGAACAGCTTTTCAGCTTTCTCTTGTTTTTTTGTTACTAAAAATCTGTTCTACTATAATTTATTACATAGTTTTTCTTAATCAGATTTATACCATGTGCAATAATCAAGGAAGGGGAACTCGTTGATTTGGAGTTAGAAGGCAAGAAAAGTAAAATATGTATATTTAATATAAAAATAGGACAAATTTTACGGCACAATACGAACTAAAAATTCGAGTTACCATTGAAACGAAATTTTTAAAATTAAAAAAAATTTTTTTTCAAAAATTCCTTTAATTATTAAAAATTCAGTCAAAATTGTTCGTAGAATTTTGAAAGAAGCAAAAGGGAACATAACCATTTACATGAGGGAAGGCAATAATGATCAACGAATTGTACCATTTTTCCGGGAAGCTTCTATTTTTAGCAATTTTCATCCAGTAACGTTTAATGTTGCTTCTCGTGAATTTTGTTGTAATGAACAATTCTTTCATTATTGCAAGGTCAATTAAATTTTCTTATATTTGAAATGCTGGGAGTGTTTGCGGGATCTCGCATACAGGATTTTTTTCGAAAAAAAAATTTTTGTGGGACGGGATCCCGTGGGATAAACCTCTCATTTCACGAAATTCCTTTTTTAAAGGAAATTTTGAAAAAAATTCCTTTCATATATTTTATTAAAATTATTTAAAGGCAATCTCTTTCGGTGATCGAGCAATTGCAGAGAAAATAATGCAGACAAAATCCCCAAAATCTCAAAAACTTCTGGGAAGACGAGTAGAAGGATTCGATCCTTCTCAATGGGAGCCAATTTCTATATTAGTAGGTTGATTGATTTGGAATAAAGAAAATTTATTCTTTCAATAAAGGCAATGGTTATTGGACTGATGAGAAAATTTCAACAAAATGAGCCAATCCGTAAAGATTTATTAGCTACAGGGGATGCTGAGTTAATTGAAGCTAGTCCTTTTGATGCAAAATGGGGGGCTGGAATAGGAGCAAATCAAATAATTGCGGGGGAGAATTGGGAAGGAACTAACTTTTTGGGTAAAAATGTTGTTTTACACTTGACAATTTCTGGCACTAATATGGAAATTAGAAGAAATCTTACGTTACTAAAATGGGAGGTTTTCTTAGAAGGAAGGAACTTCTACTTTCCATATGAGGGGTTGCCTCTTAAGCCAGAACATGAAAAATTTTAAAAACCTGGATCTACAGGGATCACTTATGGAGATTTGAATATACACGTGTCTACAAATTCTCTCCAATTACAGTCTCCTTTTCTATTTAAAATTTCTTCAAAATATTAAAAATTCCCAAATTATAAGCATTCTAAAAAATCAGTTAAACCAAAAAAATATTTTTTTATTCAATTTTAGGCCGTACTTTAATGGCTGTTAGAAATCAATTACTTTCTCCAAACGAAGAAACCTCTGAAGCTCCACCAGTCACTTCATTAAGTTCCTCTCCAATTACTGAATTTGCTACAAATAAAGAGCTTTGTTTGGCTACTTCTCTTATTAATGATTTTGGAATTGTTTTGAAATAAAAAAAAGAATTTAAAGAAAAATTTAATTTAAAATTAACATTTTTATTAATTTATTAATCAAATTTAATCTAATCTTTTTTATACAAATATATTTATTAAATAAATTTAAAATGACTATGATTTTTTAATTTTATTTTTAATAAATTACACAGTTGATGTAAGAGCCATCGGTAGCTAAAAAAAAGAAATAATTATTTTAAAATAAGTATATGGATTATCTGGAAATAAAAACTAGGAGTGGGTTTTCATCTCTTTTTTAAAAGAATATCTAAGTTTCTACAGAAATTGAGGGTAAATCGAGATCAGGGGTGAACGCAATTGAAAAAAAATTTTCCGCCGCCACAATTGCGCCCATCCCTGATAGAGACGGTCTTTCGAAAAATTACAGATTTTTAACTAAATCTCAACTTAGTCTAACTTAGATCTAAATAACAGGAAAAGAGAAACTTTGAGGAAAAAATTGAGAGAGAGATGAATTTTTACATATACCGTATTTATTCTAATAAAATGGCCCCTCCATTAGAATGGCCCCTCCAATAGAATGGCCCCTTTTTGGGGGTAATGAAAAATAGAATGGCCACCTCCATTAGAATGGCCCTCTAATAGAATGGCCCTTTTAACTAATAAGTATATGCCTGAATACATTTCTTTATTTTCCTATTATGTATTAAATATTACTCTTTAGTAAGGATACTCATAATATTTTCGAGCAAATCTGGAGTCATAAAAGGGAGATTAAGAGGGATATTAGGGGATTTGAGAGGATTAGGAGGGATATCAAGAAATTACAACGATTTAATGAAGATGCATGGGATTAAGAGAATTAATAGATATTTATGAATTTGACGATATAAGGAAGTTGGATATAAGGTTGTCGGATCCGGTTCTGATATTGGATCCGGATATCCGAAGATTTCCAACTATCCGACAACCTTAGTCGGATACATTTATTTTATCAGGAGACTTGCAGGGACATAGGATTTTGAGGAATAATGATGGATTGATTGAGATTTGGGATAAAATTCTGGATATTTCAGGACCCTTGAAGACATACGAAAATTTTGGAATTTTTGGTAGTTTAGAATTTTAATTACTAATCAATATTCCTCCAAATCTCTCCCAATTCCCATATATTACGTCCAAATTCCGAGATCCCCGAACTTTTATGAGCAAACTATACCGGAAATTTTGATTGTCTGGCACCAAAGTAAATAAAAAGTTGCCTTTTTGCCCAGCAGGCAAAAGATTTTTATGTTTTATAGTGTTACGAAAAGAAAGATTCACTAACCAAAGTCGAAAATATAGAATTTTACACGAAAAATCGATTAAATTTCGAAGTCAAAAAATATTCGATCGAACATTTGATTCATCCTATCTCTGATTTTTACCTATGAAAAATAGAATGGCCACCTCCATTAGAATGGCCCCTCCAATAGAATGGCCCCTTTTTGGGGTATCGAAAAATAGAGTGGCGGCCACTCTATTAGAATAAATACGGTATTTAATTATCTACCTTTTTTGGAGAAATTGATGATTTTAGACTTCTCCTTTCTAAAGGTATTGGCAATTTTTGTTGATTAGAAATTTCATTATTTTTAAGTTGTTTTCCAGATGGGGGAGATTGAAATGTTTGAGAAGAAATGTTTTGCCGAGGAGGCTGATCATAAGAGATAACTATTTCAGAATTAATCCGGTATTGCCTTTCTGTCTATTAAGAAAATATTTTGTTATAAGAGAAATATCTCGAACTTCATTATAAAATAACACCTCCCTATTATCTGATTCTACCAAATTTTTAATTGATTTCAAACTAATTAAATCTTTAGTTCGTTTGGGATGAAAGTAGCATTTCCTTCCAGTTGACTACTGGAAGGAGGTTCCCTCGGTACAGAAGAAAAGATTTATGCGCGCCTAGGGATATTTTATAATGAAGGTCTGACTGTACATATTTAAAAACAACCTGAGAATCTAACGTTCCATCATTCGTCATTGGAGGAATGATTATGTGCTTAAAATAGTATTGAAAATTTTTTTGCTGAGTTTTTGCATAAATTTTTAATTCAATTTAAAAATTCCTTCTTTTTTAAACAAAAAAGGTGTTCCAAAAATAAAATAATAAATTTTTAAAAATATAACTTGAGGTATTGAAATGCCTTGAGGTACTTCTAAAGTTTTTTGTGAAGACCTCGTTTGGGATGAAATGCCTTCCATAGCCGATTCATTTCTTTTTCGTCTTCTTGGTAAAATCGGGGGTGCTAAACTTTGTGTCCTTTCTTTTGAATTTATATTAGTGTAATTATGTTCAGAATTTGCCATTGGTGGCACAAAGCCGCTCCTAGGAATGGAAGAGTTTTAATTGTAAAAAGTGATTATTGAACAAACCAATAATCACTTTCATGATCAGACCAGTGTGTCTGTGGAGGTAAAGGCATAGGTGAACGATGCCTTATCCTGTTTTGTGTTAGATTCCTGTCGAATCTATTATCATCTAAATTATCAGTAATTTCATGATGAGTTGCTAAGGAACAGAGTGATGAGCTTGAATTTTTTCTATGCCTTGAAATGTAAGTTTTTATTATTCTGGCACTGTTAAAGAATGAATTTAAACATCCACATAACTATCTACATATTTACCTCATCCCTGTTGAAATATCAGGATGACAACGACGACATTGATAACGATAATTGTATCTTCGCCCATGCTCCCTGCCACAGTTTCTGCATGTTGGTCTAAAAATTGTTTTTAAAATTAGCTAACTAAAAATGTGAAGATCAGCCTAAAGACTCCTCCATACATCATTCCAGATGATAAATAAATATTAGTCTTAAGCCATAGATTAAATGGATAAAAATTAACCTATATCGATGTGATGAATTAGCTCTCCGGAATCTGTTCGGCGTTTCTCGGTAAAATTCATCAACATGGCGATGGAAAGGCCGATCAATTGCAGATCTTGATCTTGGTACATCAAAGGAAGGCGAAAAACTATTACGATATTGTGTTGGTGGAGCTAAATATTTTTTTAGTATCAAACAATTTATAAAATATAAAATTGATTGCCTGAGGCTTCTTGAACAAATCTCTCCATTGGCGTTTTTTGCTTGTAAAATGGTTGTTTTGGTAGTTGTTGTGGCATTATTTGTTCTGTTGATGGTAAAGGTGGTACAAGAATTGTATGAGGTGGAGGAATGGATTTATGTCTCAAAGGAGGTTGTCCGGGAGGAGAGACTGCAGGAAATTGGCTGGCAGGAGGTCGTTGGATTCCCCCAAATTGTCTCTGTCCTTGTTGAACATGTGGTAAATCAATTCTTTTATCAGAATCGCCAAAATCTTGAATAGGAATATTTCTTTAGTAGAAGAATATTTAAATGATTGGTCAAAAAGATAAGTAGGGGATTTATTTGGAAGATTCTTAAAAGTTTTTATAATCAAAATACTGCCTTGATCAATCTGTCGGGTTATTTCTCGTTCCCTATGAAACCGTTGGTATTTTCTTCTTCTGGCGTAATATTCAAGTTCTGCTTGCATTCGTTGATGAAAAGCAACGACAACAACAAAACAATAAATCTTTAATATTTTTAAATTATTTTTACATTAAAATACAAACATTTAAGAAAACTCCAAACATTTCTATTATTGTAAGCATTAACCAGTAATCCCTGACATCTCCAGCCCACCACATAATGCAATATGCAAGAGATGTAAGTATTGAGGCACACATTGTAACCAACCATGGGACTAGGAGGAAACGAGACCACTAAGTAATTAAGGTATAGAGATTATAGGTGTTTTTTAAACTAATTTTTAAGATGTATGTATCAGGGATGGGTCGGGTTAAGAAAAAGTCAACCGAATTTCGGCTCAGGTTTTTGAAAGAAAAATTCTCGGATAGGATTTCTGATCGGGTTTTAAAAATTTTCTACGGATTGGGTTTCGGATTTCGGGTCAGAAAAAAGACATGGTTTCGGCTCTCGGGTTTCAGGTAACCCGACGTATTCCTGGTATGTATTGAAATATTTATACCGTATGAACCCCGTATATCATCATGATGGAAGTAAATAGAAGAAAGAATGCAGCAATCAAGCATAATATTTGGATGATAAAAAGCCCTAAATTTAATTTCAAATTAGATTTTAAAGTGTTTATTTAATTTTTGCTTAATAACTTTGTTCGTCAAAAGTAATTAGATAAATTGGAGTTAGAAAAATCCTAACATGTATAATAACGTTCTTCTGGTGACTGCCAATAACTTTCATAATATGTTGGAATATCATAGCGACCATAAGAATTGTAATTAGGCAAAAGTGTGTTTGCGGCACGATCCTTTTCGTATTTTATTGCGGCTAGTTGCCAGCCAAAAATTGACAATTGCACAATACTGTAAATCTGTCTACAGGTTTAGATAAATACTAGAGGATTTGTGAGATTTTGGAAGATATTAGGGATGGAAATGATTAGAGAATATGATTCTAAAAGTGTGAGTAATGATAAAGAATAATAATTATACTAGAAATGAATAGTTATTATTTAGTTCCAGAATTTTAATTTCAGAAAATCAATAAAAATTCTTATTAGAAAATAGCAGGAAAATAAATAGGGACACTTAGAAATTCTTAAAAATTTTGGAAATAAATTCTTAAATTATTTACTTAAGACGAACAAAGACACATTCAAAAAAAATTTTTTTTAATTTTTAATTTAGTCAATAACCCTCAATAATGGCAGAAGTTCTAGCCGTAGAAGCCCCCACACATGGACAATAATATTCACATTGCAGATTAGATTGTGCCATAACAACATGCTGACATTGAGTCAATACACTAAATTGCCATCCAAAAATTGCTAATTGGGCGAGGGCATAAATCTTTAAACAAAGGAGTGATTTTGAAGAAATTGAAAGAAAAGTAGGTAAATATGTATTAAAAAACGAAAGGAAAGGCATTTAACCCAGGGCTCTCATTCGTGCTTTATTTGAAAGTATTATACTTTGAAACCGACCTCCATACTTAAGAAATTGAATTTATACTTTATTGAAAGTATATACTTTAAAATCAACATTTTGGATTGAAAATGAAATTGGGGAAGGGATTGGGCAAAAAAGTGAATTTTTTTAGCCTTGGGCCTTCGAAATTATCAAAATTTTCGCCTGCGGCGCTGAAAAAGAAAGAAATCTGGCTTCTTGGGCTCCAAATTTCAAAAAATTTTCGCCTGCGGCGCTGAAAATGGGAGAAATCTGACTACTTGGGCTCCAAATTTCAAAAAATTTTCGCCTGCGGCGCTGAAAATGGACGAAAGCTTGAGGTTAAGACTGTCAGGGCTTTATTTCTTGTATCAGCGAATTTTGACATGTCATGCGTTGAAATGCACAAAATGCCCAATGGAAGCAAGAAATTATTAGAAAAGATTCATTTAAGAGAGAAATATAAAAGATTTGAGCACGAACAAATATTTTCCAATTTAATTTTGAGTATACTTTAAATTTGGAAATTTTCTCCCTATATACTTTTTTATCAAGATTTTGATACTTTTGAGTGGCATTTTGTCGATGAGAGCCCTGATTTAACCACAAATTTAAAAGATACAATACAATTAAAGGTCAATTTGACCATCATTAATCAGACTATGTATATTTTCGATTTAGGAAAAATTATATGATAAAATTAAAAATTTCTAAGTGTCCCAAATATTTTTAAAATTTAAAAAAAATTAAGAAAAAGGTATTCACCGTTGACCAAATTCCAATTGTAACCACAGCATCTTTTAAGCTTAAACAACAACAAGGGTTGCAAGCCATTGCTTTTCCCCCTTTTTTTGCGGGTTATTTGAATAAATTAAAATATAAATTAAATAATTTACATCTGATTTTAAATTTAATAGGCAATATAAAATGGTTAAATAAAAAATTTGAATAGTCCGATAAAAACTTTTTAATCTTAGAAAGAGTATTCAGAGGTTTTTAATTAATTTATTAAAAGTAAAAATAAATTTCAAAACTTAAAAGAGGTAAAAAATAAAAAAATTTGTTTGTTTTTTCGTTGCTATGATTCATAAAGTCAGCTAGTTTTTTTGGAAATTCGGATTGATTTTTTAAAATAATATTTAAGATTTTAATTGCAAGCAAAAAATATTTAAATGTACGATAAATTGTTAAAAGAAACTTTTTAACAGAAATATTTTTTATGAGAATGCAAAGTGAACTAAAATAAAAACTGGCAACTAAAAACTGATAATGTTGAAAAATATTATCGTAAGAAATTTATATTAAAATTACTTTTATTTAAAAATCAAAGAAATTAGAATAAATATTAAAATTACATGATCTAAAGTAAACAAAAAATAATTTGAAAATTTAACTAGAAACCAGGAATTTTATTTAAATTGATGGGTCATGTAACTGTTAATTATACATGTTTTAAAATTCCTAATAAACCGCACTTCTATTTTTAAATATCCTTATTTTAAAAATTTTATTTGTGGAAATTTACAACAATTTTTAACACAAAAATAATTAAAAGTATAAAAATTATCGCAACACCAATTATTATTATCAAATAATTATTTTTAATTAAAAAAAGGCAACTAATAAAACCAAAAAATTGGGTTTAAAAATATTTAAAGATAATTTTTTATTTGCAATTGTTTAAAGAAAAAAGATTGAAAAATAATAAATGTTTAGTAAAAATACTACTCTCAAATTTCAGACAGCCGAAAAAGAGTGAGAGGAAAATCAAATAATAAAAATTTTTGGGGAAAAGAATGTGAGTCATTTCTTTCTCTCGGGACTTTGTGTGTAGGTAAAGCTTTAAAAGCAGTCCGGCTGTCCAAAATATTTTTCTAACAATTGTGTGTACTTATTTGTTTGTATAGAGTACATAAATATATTTATTTGGATTTAATTTCGCGCAGAGTCAAGTGTTGTCGGCTGTCAGAGTTTATCGAATTTTTAAATTTTGTGGACTTGAAATAATTTTAAATATAACTTTGGGTTCTAAAATTGTAGAAGTTAGAGCAATAAATTAATTGTTAGAGAGCTGATTAAGGTGCTCCTAAGGAAATTTTTAAAATTTAACCTTTGTGCACAACAATAGAAATTCCGCAATTTTCCATAAAAATCAAAGAAAAATTTTGAAAAATCCGTAATTTTCAACTGTATTTTATATTCTAGTATTATATAATAAAAATTAAAAAAATATTTCAAAAAAACTAAAATATTATTTATATAAAACAAAATTGTACGATGAAAAAATGCAAATAATTGAAAGTAAAAGAAAGGTCCGAGAATTATCGCTGCTCCAATCCTTCCCGAAAATTGCGTACTATAAAGATTGTTTTTTTATTTTTTGGCTGTCAAACAGGAGAAAGATAAATTTGAAACGTAAATTAGCCTTCAATCAAGGAAAGTTTTTATGGTCATATAAAATATTACAAATATATTTAAATTAGTTTACTTAATAAGAATGAAACAATTAATATCAGAAGTCAGCCGAAGCAGAAGTTGACTTAATTTTGTTTCAATTGGGTTTTGGAATCATGAAGAATAACTGAAAAAAAGCATTCAAATTCAGCTATCTAAATGACATATTTAATAATTTCATTTTTCTGATACCATTACAAAATTTATTAATTTTTTGTTAAAAAAATACCGTTACAACTGATAAGCAAATAAATAAATTATTAAAATTAATTGATTTACAGTGCCGGAAAAAAAGATAGGACCAGAGGCTGTTAATTTAGTTTTTTTCGCTTATCTCTTTTTTAATGGCATTTAGGAAAAAAGTTTCAACACAAAAATTTTAGGCCATTATGTGCTCTTTAAAATGAGTATGAATATCAGTATACTTTATCGACAGAATTTTATCAAAAAAATTTTAAACAATACTACTCAATTTTTGGGGTGGAAAAAAAGATAGGACCAGACTAGAAATATCGACTTTTGTTCGATCAAAAATTCTATAAAAATTTTTATGAACATTTACATCAATACTAAGTAGAAAATTAAAAAGAACGAAGTCCGTAACTCATTTTTTCATCGAGATCTCAAATCTCGAAAATCAACGAAAAATTGGAGTACAGTACTTTAAAAAATATTTTAACCCCCTAGAGCTTAAATTAAAAATTTTATTTTATGCCTATCTGAAAGCCCATAAAATTTACTACATAATAGTCTGGAAATTAATTTTTCTAAAAAAATATCTGTTTAACTCTAGTCCACTTTATATTAAAAATGCTCAAAATCACCCAAAATACCCCAGAAATGATAACTTTTTCAATTTCTCGGTCTTTATCTCCATGAATTTTTTAACAGAAAATTTAAACATGAAATAATATCGTAGCAAATTTTATGGGCTTTCAGATAGGCATAAAATAAAATTTTTAATTTAAGCTCTAGGGTGTTAAAATATTTTTTAAAGTACTGTACCCCTGTTTTCCGTTGATTTTCGAGATTTGAGATCTCGATGAAGAAATAAGTTACGGACTTCGTTCTTTTTAATTTTCAACTCAGCATCGATGGAAATGTTCACAAAAATTTTTATAGAATTTTTGACCGAACAAAAGTCGATATTTCTAGTCTGGTCCTATCTTTTTTTCCACCCCAAAAATTGAGTAGTATTGTTTAAAATTTTTTTGATAAAATTCTGTCGATAAAGTATACTGATATTTATACTCATTTTAAAGAGCACATAATGGCCTAAAATTTTTGTGTTGAAACTTTTTTCCTAAATGCCATTAAAAAAGAGATAAGCGAAAAAAACTAAATTAACAGCCTCTGGTCCTATCTTTTTTTCCGGCACTGTAATATGTTTTAAATTTATTTTATACATATTTTCTAAAAATTAAAAAAAATTTTTTTCACGGAAGATAATATGTATGTAGCATGCAGTATTATTTTCTTTTTTTCTTTACTAATTATTTTTAAGCCTCTTATTTTGCCAAAATAATTTTCCCTTTAACGCATAATTTATGAATTTTCTTCCGCTCCCACTCACATATACAAAAAGCAACACAACTCAAAAAATAAGAATATTATTTTTGTTGAGATATACATATTTATTTATTTTCTTTTAAAAAACAATTTTCTCTCACTTGAAAGCTTAAAGCTTTTTTGTTTGTTTTTTTATTGGTTTATTATTTTTGTTATTGTCTGGTCTGAAAATAATTGGCATTGTTTCTTACATAATTTTAATAGAAATACGTCAACACCGTGTATAGGAGCCTTATAGGCTTTTAAGATCCAAGATTAGATTTTTCCGTCCTTGATCCCTTTATCAAGGCATTGTCTCAAGCCTTATCTTGAGATGCAATCATGCCTTTGGTCTTGAGAAATTTTCGGTCGTGTACATTTTTGTTATAAACCCTATGGTCAATTCTTCATGTTGGAATATAATCTTTAACTGTATTTATTAAATTTATTTAAATGCATATTACATTCAGCTCATTATTTATTTAAGTTCCTCGTTGTTTTAGATTATCAATAAGTAAAAGGTGAGTTAGTAAAAAAATTGATAAAGAATATTTTTATGTTTTCACTTAACATAAGCTTAAAAACGTATTAAAAAATTTATATTTATATTTCTATGTACTTGTTATCAATTTAATTATTTATTTGGTATTTGCATTTTTCTTTTATTTCTGCCCTTTTTCTCCTATCCGAAAGGCGCACATGTAAAAAATACTGCCACATTATTTTTTATTCGAAAATTGATTAAAAATATCAAATATTTGATTAAGTATCATATTTTTAGAACTACAGAAAGCCACAGACTTAATTTACAATGCGTAATTAATTCCAAAAGATGTTTTGAATTATGCCTGATGTTCTCGTTTCCGAGGCCTAAAGTCTAGAACTTTTAAAATGGGGCCCAGAATGTTTTAGAAATTTTATCGAAATTTCGAATGAACGAAATTGATTTTTTTGAATTGTTTCATTTTTATTTTATATAAATCCAATAATACCATTATTTAAAATGCTAATACAATTTTTTCAAAGAAATGGATGTTGAGGCTTTTCGAAAAAATGGAAAGGAATTAATTGATATAGTAGCTGATTATTGGGAATCGTTGGATACTAATAAATGGGAAAAGCCATTACCTGATATAAAACCTGGCTTTTTGCAATCTCTAATACCCGAAGAGGCACCTGAAGAACCTGAAAGTTGGCAACAGATTTTTGCTGATATTGAACCTGTTGTTTTGAATGGAAACACACATTGGTAGATTACATAACCTTCCACAGAGCCCATTTAAATTAATTAACTCTGCAGGCATCATCCAAACTTCTTTGCTTATTTTTCTACCGCTTGTAGCTATGCAGGTGTCATGGGCGATATTCTTAGTACGGGAATTGCATCAATCGGATTTACATGGGTATTTCACGAAATACATTTGCAATTTATTCAAAAAATCCTTTAAAAATTCAAAGAAATCAAGTCCATCAATGACTGAACTTGAAATGGTAATGACCGATTGGTTGGCAAAAGCTATTGGATTACCTCACCAATTTTGGAATTCTGATCCAGGGCCAGGCGTTGGAATGATACAAAGTACTGCAAGTGATGCTACACTAGTAGCATTACTTGCAGCTAGGGCTAGAGCTGTTAAGGTAACATTGAATCTTTCTATTGAGATAAAATATTTAATTTTAAGAAGCTAAAGTCACAGAATACTCAACTTGGCCAATGGGAAAAATTTTTGAAAACACCATTCATTAAAGCACTTGGGCATCAATTAAGTGAAGTTGGTGAATCATTGAGGAGCAACTTGCCCAAATTTAATGGGATGATTAATGGAGGGCAAAAAGTAAGGAGAATCTATCCGAGGAAAAAATTTATAAACAAAAATTTAGAAAGTTGAACAAACAAAAAATCCCATCGGCGAAGTATCAATCTTTGAAGCACACGATTCAGCTTATTTTGATAGATTAGTAGCTTATTGCTCCGATCAAGTAGTTGTTATTTATCTTATTAATTTTTATTTTATTTTTAGGCCCATTCTTCAGTAGATAAAGGTATAATGTTAATTGGTGTTAAAATAAGAAAATTGCCTACATCCAAGTATTTAAATATTTAATTTTTTATAAATGAAAATTTAATTAAGAAATAAATTGGGAAATTTCTCTTTGGAAGCTTCAATACTTGAAAAGGCTATAAATGTAAGTTGAATTAGGTACCTTTAATTGACCATACTCTGAGTTAAAAAATTTTGTAGTTAAAAAAATTTTTAGGAAGACCGCTCAAACGGCTTAATTCCATTTATTCTAATAATAACTGTGGGTACAACAAATACATGCGCAGTTGAATCAATTAGGGAATTAGGTCAAGTATGTGAAAGGGAAGGTATTTGGGTGCATGTAGATGCTGCTTATGCTGGTAAAATTTTTTTATTATTCGAATTTTAATTAAATTTAAAAATTTAAAGGCAGTTTTCTTCTCTGTGAAGAATTTGCTTATTTGGCAGATGGTGTCGAATTTGCTGATTCTTTTAATTTTAATGCTCATAAGGCAATGATGATTAATTTTGATTGTTCTCCAATGTGGTTGGTTGATATTTTGGTATACTATAGGGTGAAAATAATTTGGGGTAACTCTTAGGTAGGTAGGTATATCCTTAATTCAGTGGACAATTAAAGCTAAACAAACGAGGTGTCCATTTTTGTGTGTATCTAAAATTAAAAATTGTCTGAAAAATAAACAGGGCAGTCAACATCAATATACTACTATTTTCAATTGTGTCTTTTCGAAAGCCCATCCATATTTATAATTAATTAAAATGATTATTGAAATATTCCAATCTTCCAGGCATAATTAATTTAAAAAATCTTCAGGTTCAAAAACGGAGCTGAGTCAATTTCTTATTTTAATGTTGATCCAGCCTATTTGAAACATGAATACCAGGCAGTTGCTTCTGACTATAGGGTAGAGATTAAATCAATTTTTTGTCTTAATTATTTATAAAGCATTTACAAATTGCTTTGGGCCGTAGATTTCGTTCACTAAAAATCTGGTTTGTTCTTAGAGCGATTGGAATTAAAGAGATTAAACAATATTTGAGAAAGGCTAGTTAAATATAAATTATTTTTTTTAAATAATTTTTAGCAAGTTGAATTAGCTAAATTGTTTGCAGAATTACTTTTAAATGAAACAAATGGTTATATTTCATCGTTTGAACTGTTTGTTCCGCCACATTTGGGTTTGGTTTGCTTCAGATTGAAAGTAAATATTTAATAGCCTTTTTGAACTAAGCTCAGTACCCTAGCTTAAGCATACAATAGCGCATATTTTGATGGTATATCCCGTGTTAAATCTTTACCTTAGAATTAGCGTCACAAATGCCCCTAAATCTCACTTTTGTACATAATTTTCCTTTACTTTTCCTCAATTTATATTTTAGGGAAGCAACGAGTTGAACGAAGCACTTTTAGCAGCTCTAAATACCGATGGCCGTATCCATTTAGTTGCTTCAAAAACTCACGGTACATATTTTCTTCGTTTTGCAATTTGCAGTTCAAAAACAACTGAAAAACATGTACATAATGCTGTCGAGTTAATTAAAGAAATTGCAGAGAAAATCTTAATCTTTTATTAAAAGATTGTAGATTACTTGTACCCTTTATTTTTCACACTTACTAATTGTTTTGTAGCCTATATGTAACTAAAATACAGTCGGACACCTCAATTTATAGTACGTACTAAGGATTCGCCGGAACCGCAAATTTGACCGGATCCGGAACCGGAACCAAAAAATCCCGGAACTTCCGGCCTACCTGAACCGGAACTTCCGTCGGAGCTCTAGTACGTACATCTTTAAAAAGCACCAAACTTTCTCTTAAATAATGAATCAAATAATTATAAGTACATAAGTAGCTTTTCGTCCCTAAGGGTGCAGTAAAAGAGCTCTGTTTTGTTTTGATCAGAAAATTAACTATCAATCTATTAATTAACCTCTATTTAATCACTATAATTTTTAGTACTTAGGGTGTAACATAAGTTTTGATACCCGACCATGTTTTTCGATGAATACTTTTATGGATATGGATGTTCTATATACCATTCAAAAGCTTAATTCGTATCTCGTTTGACATGTTTAGCGTTTTTTAAAAAAATTTTAAACTTCTTAGATATACACTGATAAATGGGATATGGTCGGATATGCCAAATCCGGATCCGGCTAAATAAATTTTTTACAAAAGATCTAACATAAAATGATTATTCACAATAATTTTAGAAGCCAGAATCAAAAAAAAATCAGGGACAAATCTTTTTCCTAACCCAAGATATAAATTTTTAAAAAACGGGAATTTTTCACTTTTTTGTAAAATTATTTGGTCGCTAAGAGCAATTTTTCTCATTTTGTCACATTTTTGACAAAAATGTTAAAAAATATGTGATTTTCAAAAAATCATATCTCTGCTCAGACACAAAATTTTTAAATTTTGTTTTTTTATCCTAACTCAGAAAAATCCACGGAATAGTAATAAATTAATTCATCTTTTGTAAAAAATTTATTTAGCCGGATCCGGATTTGGCATATCCGACTATATCCCATTTATCAGTGTATATCTAAGAAGTTTAAAATTTTTTTAAAAAACGCTGAAACATGTCAAACGAGATACGAATTAAGCTTTCGAATGGTATATAGAACATTCATATCCATAAAGTATTCATCGAAAAACATGCTCGGGTATCAAAACTTATGTTACAACCTAAATAAATTTCCACCTTTAACTAAAAATAATAAAATAAAAATATGTTTACTAACTAACACGTAAATATTATATTTTTTATAAAAAAATTTTTTTATTTAGTACAATAGTAGGCGCCAAGTTGATAAAATATTTTTTGTATTATAAAAATATATTTATAGTAAATATCCAAATCTTTTGTTAAAAGGATCACATTACTCATTGAAAAACAAGAATTTTACTAAAGAATTTTAGGTTACCTTTAAAGTTTTGATAAAATTGAAAACAATTTTTTTGAGGATTTTTAAGAAAAGTGTTAACCTTTTTGTTATTTTTTAATGTTTACTTAAGTGTTGTTCTCTCAGATTTTTTCTATATAAATAAATATTTTAAAGTTAAATGAAAACAGTCTTTTTACAAATTCTTATCCATTAATAAATAAATAATTCTTCCAAAATAATGAACAAAATTTTAATCATTTTTGCTATAATTTCTCTCTCAAGCTTTGCTTTAATGCAAGTTGATGCTTGGTGGTAAGAATTTAAATAATAAATTATAAAAACTTTTTTAAAATTAAAATAGTAAGATAGTATAAGGTATTTTAGCTTTAGAATACAAATATCGAAATAGAATTTTGTATAATATATCTTATCATAAAGGAGCCTAGCTTAAGCAAAAATTTTGAATAATCTAAAAACTATTTTCCTTTATTAGGCCTTATTATGGATATGGATATGCTGCTGGTTATTACCCTTACTATGGCTATGGCAAACGTGAAGCTGGATTTCAGAACTTTTTACCAAATAAGCCGTCAAATGGGCATGTAATACCTGGAAATCGTGAGGATGATATGGGGATAGCTTAACGAATATTTGTGGAAAAGAATTTAAAAAATAAATAAAAATAAACAAATATATTTTTAATCATTTCGATTAATAAATAAATAAAACAATTTTAATAGTAAAACAAAAAAACAAATATGTTTAATAACAAATTTAAAAAAATATGTATTGCCTAATCATTTACTGCGCATTATTAATTAAAATGAACGAAAATTATTAATAAAGATAAGTTCATTCTTTAGAGGAAGCTACCTATTTTAGCTGAACAATCCTAATTAGTAGAACCTTCGAAAATTTTTAAAATTTGTTAATGATAATGTAAAAAATTGATGTAATCCCGTTTTTAAAAATTTAAAGTATAATTTCTATTTTGAACGAGATCTTTTTTTTAAATTTATTTAAACATCGTTAGTTTTGATATTAGTGATGACCTCACAATACGATTAAAAAAAGGATCGTTTTTCTCTTTTCTTTTCATCAAAGTTCAGTTCCACTTAATTTTAAAGATCTTTGATTCATCACTAGATTATCTCGTAGAATTTGGCAATACACGTTTCTCTGTTCCTTTAAATTTATTATACCGGAAGTTGATGTAATATAAGAACAAATCATCCAAATTTAACAAAATTTTCCTCGTTAGTAAATTGAATTTTTACGTATTAGAGGATTAATATATTTTTTAATTATATATCAGAACAGACAATTCTCTCTCTCTCTCTCTAAAACAATTAAAATAGGATTAGACAAATAAATTTTTTTATTTAAATTTAATTCCTAAAGGTCTCTGATCAATTTACTTAAATAGGCATTAAACATAGCTATTTAAATAACGAAAAAATAATCAGAAAATTCATTATTTTTCAACAATAAAGACAAAAAAACTTCAAAAAAATGTCTCTTAATTTGGTTAAATTAACTATTTTCACGTTAGTTTTCCTTTTGGGAATTTTTTATTCTTTTGGAATGATGGGAGAACGTTCTAGGGATTGCGATGGATTATTAATGGACGCTGGATTTAAAGGGATTGAAAAATTCCACAATATTTGTACGAATCCAACGGCAATAAAATCTGATATTCAAACACAACTTCTTGCTTGGGCAGCGGAATTTAATGTTTCTGTAAGTAAATAAATATTTATTTTTATGTTAAAAAAGTGTATATATTTTTGAAGAAAATTATATTAAAAATTTTTTTTCAAATTTTAGTCAGAAATTTTTGTAGGGAAACTGGTGGAGGGGGAAGAGGAGGAGGGGGTATTTGTCGTCAATTAAAAGCATTGCCAGAAAAACAGTGCCGGGTTTCGGGGATTTTATGACTCCATCTGAGGGGATTCAAATTCTTGGCAAGCATAAGAGTCAATTAAACGGCCCTTCGTTTTAATAAATTAAAAATTCTCTTTATAGACCAAATTCCAAACATGTTCAAATTGGCATCAAGAAGTTTTAACAAATATTACAAATTATGCCAACAACAATTTTAAAGGATCGTTGTTTGATTTGGTGAATAATTTAGTTGTAAGTTGTTTTAGCCAAAATTATTTAAAAAATATTATTTTTTAAGACCATTTTGTCAGACAATACAAAAACTCGAGTTCAAGAATGTAATGTGACTTTTGCTTTACTCGAAGCAGCTTCACCAAGGCCAGAAAGTAACAAAACAATGCGACATGAACATATGAGTTGTATGCATCCACCCCCATCTTCAAGTGTTTGTACTTTATATCCACAAGAATGTTATCATGGAAGAGTTCCTTTTCCGATAGATAATAATAGAGGAGGTGAAATGCATGATAATAGAGAAGGAGGAACGGAGCATGTAAACTTTCAGCATGTTCCTAAAAATGAAAATGAAGGAGGATATGGAAATAATAATAATCAATCATAAAGAATAAATAAAAGAAATAAATATTGTGAATATGTAATGATAAAAAAATGTAATGTTAATAAAAATATATCTTTTTAATTGATTGACTTTAATTCCAGAAAACTTTTTTAAAGTCTCGAGTCATGATTAAATTTTTTTAGATTAAAAATGAAATTTTTAAAATTGAATTTTAATAAAATAAGGAATTTTTATTAAATTAAAAAATTATTTTTAAATTCTTTGCTTAACTGCAATTTTATAATTCTTTTTAAATTTGAAGAATTGAATTATGGGCAGATTTTTGGATGGGCCAAAATTGAGAAGAATGCTTTTGGCTCTCAAATCATTTTCATGCTGGGAATATCTAGTGGAATATTTACATACTTAAATCTCCGAATTTAGAATTCTTTTCTAAACGTTGGAATTTAAATAAAGATCAGATCCTTTTGGCTCGGTTGAGCCAAAAGAAAAATTTTTTGTTTGCATTCTAATCTTGTGAAAATTTTTTAAATAATTTTCCTCCCCTTTACCGCTCAATTATGGAGTTAGAGATTTTCAGAATGAAAAATAATTTAAAAGTCAAATCCTTACTCTCTCGATTTTTTACTCATTCGAAACCGTCACCGCTAAAAAGGAATTGTTAAAATGCAGTTAATCAAATAAAAATATTTTTTAAATAAATAAAATAAATAAAAATTAAAAATGCATTTAAATAATGATAAGAAGCCTTCAAACAATTCACTTTTAATTAAATATTTTCTTTATTTCATAGAAATATTTCTCCCAGGGGAACGGGGATCCTACTTTTACATAAGAGAGCACAGGTTCCCTGAGGAGAGACATATTCCCGGTTGACAGAAAATTGAATCACTATTACAAAGTAGATGGTAAGTTTATAACGAATTAACCAAAATCTAGAAGGGGTTTAGGTGATTTAAATTTCTTTCTTATTGGAATTAGAGTTTAGGCATAAATAATTTTTAAATAAAAAATGCAGATATTGCCTATCATTAAATTTATATTATTTATAATTCTTCAATAGATTTTATTTTAGAGCAATATTTTTTAAATATTATAAAATTTAAATTCCAACAATGACTACTCCAATCAACATTTTCTATATTATTCTCTTTTCATCCTTTTTAATATTTCATTCAATCAACGGTTGTATTCCCGTAGGACAACAATGCAATTCCAACGATGATTGTTGTCCTGTTAAAGGTGTTGATGTAACTTGTCATGGCTCCTGGACACCTACAAAAACGAAAGGAAAGTGTAAGAAAAGTTGTGATGACAAAGGAGCAGCTTGTGACCCTGATGTTTGGTCTAATTGTTGCAACGGTTGTGATGAAAATCACAAAAAGTGTAAATAAAAAAATAAAAAGTAATTAATATTAAATTTTTCACACTTTTATTTCCTTTTCTAAATTACATAAATTGTTTTTGGGATCTATTTTTAAAATATTCCTTAAAATGGAAGTACAAATAATATTAAATTTCATAAAAAAATGTAGACGTTCTGACTTTTTTACTTTGTTTTGTGAACTTTATTTTTTCATTCTTTAAAATAATGTCTATGAAAATAAATTTTTAATAAAAATTTAATATGTTTCAAATAGTGCTTGAACGGTTCTGTACTATATACTACCGGAAATACAAAATCGGTAGTTCCGACACTACAGATACTGAAATTGTACAGAAAGTATCCTGAAATTGTACCGAAAGTAAGAAGTACTTTGCTACCTAAACTTTTAATATATATCTACTAAAAATTAATATATTTACATTCTGTTTAATGAACAAGATTAAGTAAAATAAAATACATATACATATGCAATTTTATATTGAATTATCTACAGATTAATCAAAATTTTTATTTTCTATTTTAGAGGTTTTTTCTTCTAATTTCGAATTTTGAGTGTAAAAATAAAAGGAAAAAAGAGAATAATTTTAAATTAAAATGTAGACGTTCTGACTTTTCAAATTTTTGGTTACTTTTGGGGTTTGTTGGAAGGTGAAAGCAAATTAAATAGCGCATTATTTTAGGCTAAATAAATAAATAAAGCAAAAAATAATTTAAATATTTTAAATTCTTTCATTTTATTTATCAATTTAAAAAGGCATTTTATTAAAGTTTAATTAATTAATTTTTTTTCTTATTTAATTTTTTTAATTTAAAAGAAAATAAAAAATATTTATGTTTAGTTTTATGTTTCCAAACATTTTAATTAAAAGGTTGTTACAGAAAAGCTAAAGTCTTTTGGGAATTTAATTAAAAACTTTTGTTTTTTGAAGGAAAGTAATAATGACTTTTATATTTAGTAATCATCCTTATTTTGACATTTTTTTTCCGAAAAATAACCAAAAAATAACAACAATATATTTGTTGTATTCAGAGCTCTCTATTTACATAGATTTTCTGGTACTAAAGTGAACCTATCGTAACTAGAAGAGGTACACACACCAAAGTTGACCCCATTTAGTTACGATAGGTTCACTTTAATACTATAAAATCTATGGGTCCCAGAGTTATGGTGGCACGGTACCGGACCTTAGGTAAAACGCATAACCGGACGGACACTTATCACCATATATGGGAGGTGCGATTATTCGCGTAATCTAGACACGAGCCAATGTTTTTTAACGATTTTAGAAAAAAATTAAATTTTCTTAAGATTCTTTTATGTATAGAATAAATGCACTCTTAAATGCACCACTCATTCTTAAATAATGCACTCTCGAAAAAATTCCCGAATATCGAGCCTATCTTTGTTCCTAAAATAATTATCTTTACATTAAATAATTCCCTATATTTAATTATTTAAATTAATTTATTTTGTAGAATTGCATTTTTAGCGAGATGTTTTGTTTTTCATTTACCTTAATTAAAATTTATCACTTAAAATGTACTTTAATACAATTTTATTTCAATTTTTTATATTGAGATATAAATTTAATTTAAATATATGTAAATAACACTAGAAATTTAGGTAAAAAGTGCATAAAAATAAAATTTAAAAATATAGAAATTACAACACAACTAAATATAAATAAGAATTAAATGATAGACTAAAATAAAAAAATAATTCAAATTTTCTAAAACTAATTAGATTTGTGACTTACAATCTTAACTAATAAGCGTGAGTAGATAAGACTGAGATAGATACCGTCCTAAATTCTTACATAGACATCGGGATGTGCCCTGCCGTATTTTAAAAAGATGAAGCGCGAGTGATCCCACTCCTTATAGAAACGTAATAATAATACCTTGTAACATATTTTAAGATTATATTTTAAGTTACAAGCCTCTCAAAATTATTAAATTATGTCTAAATCGGCCAATCGACTTCTCAATCATTTGACAAATTCAAGTATCGAGTCAGCACCAGATGGGGGCAGTATATTCGGGCACAGACCGATTCGAAGGCAAATGTCAAATGCTGTTTATATTTACAAACATCAACTTCCCAGTAATATTCTAAAAAATAATTTCTTCCATTTTTTAAATTTTTTGTCGGTACAAGCTCCTCAGAAGACAATTGGTTAGCGAAAGAATTGGAAAATGTAACAGGAAACAAACTAAGACCCGTTGGTTCAATTATCCGTCGAAGTTCAAATTCCTCTCGACGGCCGTGCAAAACTCCGTCAATAAGGCATTTAATATTTTTAACTTCAATATCTTAATTTATTTAGATCAGATTTACCATCAAATCCCCCATCACCTCCGCTCGATCCTAGTACATTAAAACAACAACCTCTTTTAACAACTTCTTCCCTCGCATATCCAACAAGATTTAGGGCATCAGTACCTGCTATTTCAATTGAAAAAGACGAAAATCTGCATGAGGGAGGGTCAGTTTATTGAAGTTTAACCTTTCTGATTTCAAGAAAATTAGGCGTGAAGATGTAATTAATTTTGTGGACAACAAATCAACGACAGCAGCAACAGCTGATGAATTGATGCAAATGTTAATGGAGGATGATGGTACTGATAGACCTATTATCTTTACAGTTTTTGAGGCTGCTAATATAGATGGAGTGAGGCATTTGTCTTCAAAAAGTCGTTGTACTCGGTTAGAATTTATGAAAATATTTTTAAAATTTGTGTGGCTTTTGGATGGAAGAGTGCTGAATAAGCGGTTTAGTTACCAGAATATGGCCCCTGTCTCATTTTAAAATGCAGAAGCAGAAAGGTCAAAAAATGCGGAATTCTACGGAAGCGTAATATAACCTTCCCCTGTTAGATACCCCATCCTTAAATAAAATTTCTTTAGTAACAAGGGCTTTGTAAGGTTACAACAAAAAACCCTGGAACAGGGCACTGGAATTTGAAAAGTCTGAAATTTAGTTTAAATTTTATTTTTAATTTTTTCTCTTTTCTTCATTTTATTTTTTTAATTTATTCAAAATTCTTTAATTTAAATCACAAATTAAAAAAAGAATTATAAAATTGCAATTAAGCAAATAAATTGAATGAATGTTTTTAAGCTAAATGATTTATGAGCCAAACCCAATACCTTTCTTGTTTCTTGGCTCATCCAACAGCCTGATCATTACTTAAATCGTCATATCCAGTAAAGCATTTTAAAATATCAGTTAAGCAAATAAAAATTTAAAAAATTTATTTAAATAATGATAATAACTCTTTAAACAATTAATTTTAAATTAAATATTGCCTTTTTATAAAAATTAAAATCAAGATATCAATTTAAATTTAAAATCAAATAACTTTTATTTTAAATATTCTAACAAAAATGAGTACTCCAATCAACATTTATATTATTCTCTTTTCCACCTTTTTAATTTTTCAATTAATCAACGGCAATCAAGAACAATGTATCGGAAAAGGAGGTAAATGCGATGTCGATAGAGATTGTTGTGGTGATTATGATGTAAGATGTGTTGGCGCCTGGGAACCTACAAAAACTCCAGGAAAATGCCAAAAAACTTGTGATAAAGATGGGGTAACTTGTAACCCTACTCCTAAAAATAAAGATGGTAATTGCTGCCACTATTGTGATAGTAAAATAACCAAAAAATGTTCGTCCAAAGACACTTCTGATTAATTTCTAATAATTTTTTTCTCCTTTATTTTCTTTTCCAAATTACATTTAAATTGTATCTGGGATCTATTTATAAAATATCATTAAAAGAGAAGCTTTAAAATAGTACTAAAATAATCCTAAAATCATAGTAAATAAATGTAAAGCACCTCCCTCATCTTTTGCTTTAGCTATAAGAGAAATAATTTAGCTTTATACATTCTTTCTATTCAACAAATAAAATTTTTTTATTTTAACACTTTATTTTCGTGGTTTTTTCTTTCGATTTGAATTTAAGAAATAAAAAAATAAAAAAAAGAAAAGTTTTTCAAAAAGGGAAAATTCACTTTTCAAATTCCAGTGCAATGTCCCGGAATTTTATGTTATTCAATTACTAAGGGGAATAATCAAATTTAGATTATTAAGAAAACAATATCAGATTCAAATAGAGACCGAAGATAAAATCAAGTCAGATCGGTATTTTAAAAATATCCTTACAGTATGCCACTAAAATTAAAGCCAGTAACAATTTTATCAACGCAAAATTGGAGTTTAATAATATAGACCAAAAATATAGCTAGAAAATACCCCACTAAGGTTGTCGGTTCCTGGAAATTATAGGATATCCGAAACTCCAGAACCGACAACCCACTCCCAGCTCAAAATAATTTTAATTGATTAAAATTAAACTCAATATTTTTTAAAATTTATTTTTTATTTAATCATTCAAAAATTCTTTTCTTAGATTTTTACCTAGAATCTATTATTTACTTTGTAACATTTAAACGTTTTGTTTTCTTTTCTCTCTCAATATCAATTTCTTTCATACATTTTCTCATTTTCCAATAAATATGTAAACCTTCAATAATACCCAAAATTAAAAGAATTCCAGCAAAAATCTTTTTAAAAAATTATATTTTAAATCAAAATTGCCAACTTGTGTCATAATAAGCATTTCAAGCAATAAAGGTCGAAAATTTGTGCATCTCCAAGCAGCTTCCCAATTAAGTTCTGTTCTGACTTTAAACAAAAATACAATAAGCCAACCTAGAGCGCCAATCAGAATTATTAGAATTTCCAGAAACTTGAAAAATTAATTTTTAATTGATGTATTAGTAAGGACAATGCTTCGGCACTCGAGCGAAAATCATACTTTCAAATTTTAAGATTAAAATATTGTATGTATAATATGGAATCCCGCCAATACTCTCATTCATACGTTGGCTCAATTTAGTCTCGAAAGTGTCGTATTAACGGGATTCCAGAGTTTCCAAAACTAAATTTATAATGTTCTAAGAGTGCGTTTTTGTCTAAAGTTTCAACAGAAAATTTTCCTAAATCCTTTCAAATAAATTTTACCAATTTTCCCCGTCTCTGTTCTAAATTGTCAACCTCTAAACAATTAAGCAAATAAACTTGAGAAAATAGCAACAATAAATGAGCAAACCCAACAGCTATTGTTGCAACAGAACGATTAGCTAAATTAATTAGTGGGGAGGCTTGCCCAAATTTGTGATTTTCCAAATTATTTATTAGCTCTTCTTGTAGATTTATCTATAAAATTGTAAAGGTTTTGTTAATTCTATTCAACTATTTAAATATTCTAACATTTTTGTAATTTTCTTAATTATCTCTGTATCATCCCAGAAAAGGACCGTTTCCGGAAAAGATCTGGTCTGTGCGCGGGGCTTAATCTGGTCTGTACTTTCGGATTTTTCGGATTTTATTTGCCTATCTACCTTATAACAAAGAATTTCTTTTTGCTCTAAATGTTTTTCTTGTTTTGTTTCATTATCCAATTCATTTAACCTAAAAAATGATTTTTTTATTTAAATTTTTTATTTAACATACTCATCATTATCTTGAACATTTCTATTTAAATCTGAAAAATATCGGCGTTCTTCATCTGGTAAGATAGCATTCTTTTGCATTTCTAACCATGGGAGACGTCTTTTCTCTTTAAAATAAGAAATTAGCTTTAATGTTTTTTTGTTATTACGAATTTTTCAGGAAGCTTTAGCTCCTAAAATATTTGGGAAATCTTATCTGGATCTCATGTAATTTAAAGAGAGTTCTTTATGAAGTTATCCCACCACACGAGCCGAGGTGGGTCAGAACATTCAGAGGTGTCGGAAATCGGAAAAGCCGGAAATCGGAACTGACTCGAAAGTCGAAACTCAGAAATCGGAAATCAAGATTTTTTCGGAAGTCGTAATTCCGACCCACGTCTGCACACGCGAGATGCTTCAATTAATAGGACTCTAGTTTTGGGCGATTCAGAACTTTTTTGGCTTTCTTTTCGATTTTGGAGTTGCAGTATAATAAATACTTCGGTTTTGGTCATTTCTATTTAGGTAAGTAATAATCCCATAACTTAAATATCTTAATGAAATAAAAATTTTTAAAAAGACGAACAAACTTCGTTTAATTCCTTCTTTCGTTAATTTCTCCTCTTTTTTATTTTCTTTTTTTAATTCAATTTCTAGCAATCTTGCTGAAGAATAAATTTCTTCTTTAATTTTTTCAGCAATTTTTTGTAATTGTTCTTTTTCTGGTTTTGGTGGCATAAACTTTTCTCCATCAAAACTCCACCATAAACGTAAATTTGGAGAAATATTCTTTTTTAAAGAATATTTAATATTTTTAAATAGAAAATATTACCGATAAAATATTCATTCGTTTCTCCTCTGGATTGGGTGGCAAATAGAAAAATAATTTTTGGCATGTTCCATCTATTTCATAACGTATAACTGTCTTAATATATTCTGATAAATATTTATATTAGGTGTTATTTCGGCTTAAGGAACCGGGAACTATTTAATTTATTTTCTTTATTGTCTTAGATCTTTGATTAGCATTTCAGAATATTTCATTTAAAATCATTGGATCCCAATTTTAAGTACACACTTGGGACTAAAAAATTGTGCAAAAAATTGATTATACTTATTATCGCAAATATTCTAATAAAAGCCCATGCTCTATAATAGCCCACTCAATAAGGCATTGAAAACCCCAGAATTTTCATTAGAATATTTACGGCACCTCTAATTCCTCTCTTTCCAAGTCATTCTACATATAATATTTAATTATTTTATCTCTACTTTCAATTACATTTCTGTAAATCTAAATCGTCGAATTGCCTATTAAATTAGGTATTTTCAATTAAAATATATCTGTTAAATAAGTAATTAAATATTCCAATACCTTTGTGCTTACAAAATGTCCACAAATAGTACATTCACTAAATACCCTCCATAATAAAATTACAATAAGTAAGATTTGAGTAATCTTTAAAAGCAATAATAAAGCAAATCGCATAATTTAAAGAATTAATTTTTAAATTTAATTTTAAATAAATAAATAGTATTTTTTATTTATTTGAGGTTAATTACAAAGTAGCTGTTCTTATTTACTTTAAAGATTAACAAATTAAAATACCAGTAAATATTTAATGAAAACGAATTTTAATCTTTTATTTTTATTTAAATTATTTACTTTCCGATATTTGTGTAAGGGAAGAAAGATTAAATCTGTTAAGAATTTTTGCAAGACCACATGTTTAAAAATACCCGAACGTTATGAGCTTAGGCTCTAGCAAAGTGTTTCTATGTTCCTCAACTTCATAGAAAATTTCTTTCAATTTATAATAACCAATTTTAAGATATACATGGTTTGTGTTGATTATTCTCTTTATATGTTTGTGTTTCTATCAAATTGGAGCGCAGGTTGGAATTTAATTAATATTTTTTTTGATTCCTATCCTGATAATATCTTAAATAATTAGAACATTTCAAATATTACATGGAAAATCTAATTAAAATCATAATTTTTAATTTAAAAAAGGCAATGATGTACTGGTTAACACCTGTAGCCACAAATATAATAGCAGCATATCCAGAATCTATTGCTTTTCCAGTCGTAGCCATATGTAACAGTAATCAGCACAGAATTACTTGGATAACTGGAGATAATATACAAAAACGACAAGGAAAGAAAGCCCCATTGGATTCAAATAATTTTATTGAGAATTTAAATTATTCAGACATTTTTGACAAGGTAAGAAGGAATCGAATTTATATCAAGTTCAAAACAATTGCCCATTACCTCGGAATCAAATGTGCGAGATTTGAGACATTGTCTTCCAAAAGAAATGAGATAAACCTAATATAGAATTTAATAGAATGTATGTAGATAAATAATGCAGTGATACAAAACCAGAAATTAATAAAATGTAGTGTCACTGCAAATGTTACCTTACATTTTTGCTTCTGTATAGACACCGTTTATTAGGGCTTTATTTTCGGCCCAAAACATTTAGTTCAAATTATTTTTAATTAAAGGCTCTTTTGCAAAGCTGGGACATGGATGCAGGCCATTTCCTACAAAATGCTGCCCATCAAAGAACTAGAATGATTGTAAGATGCGAGTTACCTAATGGTAGTAGATGTAATGCTCGAGATTTTCGACCGGTTTGGACATTAACTGGACTTTGTTGGGCTATAAATGTAGACTCGGAAAATCCAATACACGTATATAGATTTAAAATTAACAGTCTTCTATTTCAATTAAAAGGTAAACGGGGCTGGGCCAGGAAATGCACTTCGACTTCTTGTTAATATTGAGAGATATGAGAGGATTGAAAGGTGATTAGGAAGTATTCTCAGATAAAATTCAAAATTTTAAAAATTCAAGTTGCACCCCAAAACTTCGTTCTCGGTTTTTGCCTGGTCTGAAAGTTCTTATTTATAATCAAACAGATGTACCCCCACATTATTTGGAGGGTGTAAATATTCCAGCTGGTTTTACAATGGATATTCCTTTTTGGATGAGACATGTTAGTAAATATCTTTACCTGCTTAAAAACTTTTTAGAGACAAAAATTGCCCGGAAGAGACTGTGTTGTTACCAAAATTTCTGATAATGAAAAGAATTATGGGAATGGAAGTCAAAATAAAAACAGCGAAAGGGGATGTTTAATGCGTAGTTATTTAAGTGAAATTGAACGTCGTTGTAATTGCTCGATGAGAGAAGCTTATTTTCAAGAAAATGGTTAATATTAAAATTTATATATTAAAAATTTGCTTAAAAATTCACAAAATGACAAAATTTAGAAAAATTAGGCAACCTAATTCAAGCAACCTAACCTATTCTAATTCGTTAGAATACCAGAATAGGGAAAAGAAGGGATAGACAAGACTGGAAAAATAGGTAAAAATGGATTTAGAAAAACTTGACCATTAACATAAAATGGAAATCGTTGGATTTACGTTTCTCGACTCATGGGTGAAAATAGAAAATAATGAAAATTAGAAAAAAATATTGTTTAAATAAATCATAAAATCAAACACAAAGATGATCTCCCTAAAAAATTTTCACAATGTAATGTTCAACAATATTTTGAATGTGTTCAATCTGTTTTGGAATTGGCAAGGAATATGGGATTCAATAATTTTCATCATTGCCCTATTCCTTGTGAGAAAATAATTTAAAAATTAAAAATAAAATATTTGCAAGGCGAATCGGTTGATTACACTGCTTGGCAAGATATGAATGAATTGCCCAGTAATATTTTTCCAAAATTAATATCTGATTGGAATGTTGATGAAGATGAAGAGGATAATGAAAATGAAAAAGAATCTATAGAGACAACAACAAATAATAATAGAAATTTATTTCAAAACAAAGAACAGAGTAATGTGCAAACAATTGTGGATAGTGCTGAGCGCGATAAAGAAAGGGTGATTATTTAATAAGTTAAAAAATAATTTTTATTTTATTTTAGGCCCACTATCAATGCACACATAATAAGCTGCTAAGTACCTCACACGTTAGACGAATTAAAAATGAGGCACAATTGGCTTATGAGAAACAAGCCCAATATCAAGAAGATATTCAACTTAGAACTAAACATTTAATTGAACAATTTAGAAAAAGTATTAGCAGGTATTGAAAGATTATTTCGCGGAAGTTAACTAAAAAAAATTCCTTTAAAGAATCGTTGAGATGCAATGGGGTTGGAAAAATGATTATTTTCTTGGAGCCAACAAGCGATTAAAACAGATGGTTGGTTGCTATGCTGAAATTCCATTAATACATTCTGATGTATTCTCTGCAATTTTTAATCTAAAGGTGATACTGATGAAAATTGGAAAAAATAAATTTTATTTTTCTACCTTGATCTGGGCATTTTTAAAAATAGATTTCCTCTAAATTAGATTTTGTCTTTTCTGAGATGCTATGGGGTCTTGACTCTGAGGAAAAATAATACATAAAAAGCATTTTAAATATTAAATTTTTATTCTTGAAATTAATTAAAAATTGTAGCCTCAGGGAGAGGAAGAACGGGCCAATCAAATGATACAACTGCTAAATGAATCTTTTATCAAAAATAATTTATCCAAACATTATCAAACAATAGGGGAAGTGAAAAGAGAATTTGGCATTAAAGCTGATGGAAAATATAAAGAAATAGAAATGATGGAGGAATTACTTAAAAATATTAAAAGGTTAATCTCGTTTATAACTCCCCTGAATATATCCTCGTAAACTAGATTATTTTCTGAGGAGACATTTACTGAACATTTACCTAACAGAATTGAAAGAATAATTAGTAAAATACTTAACTTTATGAGGCAATTCGAAGAAGGAAGTCTTCGACGAAAAGAATGGGCAGAGAGGATGAATGCAAGAAATATGAGGTATTTATTGAAGTTAGTATAGGTATACATATTTATTTGTTTTTATTTTCTATTTAATCAAGACATTTTTTTGACGAAGACTTTTTTGAGGTAAATTAAGAAAGTTTAAAAATATGAAAAGATAATTTAAAGAATTGGTACAATTTAATTGTAAAGGACCTGGAAAATGGAATTATTGGCACAATCCAAAAAATTGAACAATTAATTCCTCAACTTTACTCAAATACAGCAAATGGCACAGCCATTATGGTGAGGGTTTATTGAATTACTTAAGAAGTTTAAGATATGAAAAATATTTGTTTACGACAACGTCACACGATACATGACGATAAATAATTGTCTGTCGTGCTAATTGTGTCGTCAAGAAGATGTCGTCGTGGTGTTGACGACGACGACGTCAAGAAGATGTCGTCGTGGTGTTGACGACGACGTTAAGATGTCGTCGTCGTGTTGACGACGACGTCGTCAAGAAGATGTCGTCGTGGTGTTGACGACGACGATGTTAAGAAGATGTCGTCGTGGTGTTGACGTCGTCGTCAAGAAGATGTCGTCGTGGTGTTGACGACGACGACGTCAAGAAGATGTCGTCGTGGTGTTGACGTCGTCGTCAAGAAGATGTCGTCGTGGTGTTGACGTCGTCGTCAAGAAGATGTCGTCGTGGTGTTGACGACGACGACGTCAAGAAGTTGTCGTCGTGGTGTTGACGACGACGACGTTAAGAAGATGTCGTCGTGGTGTTGACGACGACGTTAAGATGTCGTCGTCGTGTTGACGACGACGTCGTCAAGAAGATGTCGTCGTGGTGTTGACGACGACGATGTTAAGAAGATGTCGTCGTGGTGTTGACGTCGTCGTCAAGAAGATGTCGTCGTGGTGTTGACGACGACGACGTCAAGAAGATGTCGTCGTGGTGTTGACGTCGTCGTCAAGAAGATGTCGTAGTGGTGTTGACGACGACGACGTCAAGAAGTTGTCGTCGTGATGTTGACGACGACGACGTTAAGAAGATGTCGTCGTCGTGTTGACGACGACGTTAAGATGTCGTCGTCGTGTTGACGACGACGTCGTCAAGAAGATGTCGTCGTGGTGTTGACGACGACGACGTCAAGAAGATGTCGTCGTGGTGTTGACGACGTGGTGTTGACGTCGTCGTCAAGAAGATGTCGTCGTGGTGTTGACGACGACGACGTCAAGAAGTTGTCGTCGTGGTGTTGACGACGACGACGTTAAGAAGATGTCGTCGTCGTGTTGACGACGACGTTAAGATGTCGTCGTCGTGTTGACGACGACGTCGTCAAGAAGATGTCGTCGTGGTGTTGACGACGACGACGTCAAGAAGATGTCGTCGTGGTGTTGACGTCGTCGTCAAGAAGATGTCGTCGTGGTGTTGACGACGACGACGTCAAGAAGATGTCGTCGTGGTGTTGACGTCGTCGTCAAGAAGATGTCGTCGTGGTGTTGACGACGACGACGTCAAGAAGTTGTCGTCGTGGTGTTGACGACGACGACGTTAAGAAGATGTCGTCGTGGTGTTGACGTCGTCGTCAAGAAGTTGTCGTCGTGGTGTTGACGACGACGACGTTAAGAAGATGTCGTCGTGGTGTTGACGACGTGGTGTTGACGTCGTCGTCAAGAAGATGTCGTCGTGGTGTTGACGACGACGACGTCAAGAAGTTGTCGTCGTGGTGTTGACGACGACGACGTTAAGAAGATGTCGTCGTCGTGTTGACGACGACGTTAAGATGTCGTCGTCGTGTTGACGACGACGTCGTCAAGAAGATGTCGTCGTGGTGTTGACGACGACGACGTCAAGAAGATGTCGTCGTGGTGTTGACGTCGTCGTCAAGAAGATGTCGTCGTGGTGTTGACGACGACGACGTCAAGAAGTTGTCGTCGTGGTGTTGACGACGACGACGTTAAGAAGATGTCGTCGTGGTGTTGACGACGACGTTAAGATGTCGTCGTCGTGTTGACGACGACGTCGTCAAGAAGATGTAGTCGTGGTGTTGACGACGACGATGTTAAGAAGATGTCGTCGTGGTGTTGACGTCGTCGTTAAGAAGATGTCGTCGTCGTGTTGACGACGACGTCAAGAAGATGTCGTCGTGGTGACGACGACGTCAAGATAACATTGTTGTTGCTTCATATCCTTCACACCCCTCTACTAAAATATAAACTTAAAAAACATTTTAATTTTTTGAAAAAACTAGGCTGGTTCTACAATACTTTTTGGCAATGCTAGTTCTAAGAATCAAGAAAGATTGGCAATGTTTATGGACGATTTGCTTGAATGTATATTTAATGACGTCAAAAATACGAGTGCTCAAATGCTTAGAGAATTTCAAGTTTTTAACCAAAAAAATAAAAAAATAATTAAATCAAAGAGAGCAATGAATGATCTCCAATCATCCCAAACATTGCTTTTTCGGAAAGAATTGCCTGAATATTTGTCGAATTTTGAGTTTGGGACAAAATTTGTACAGTTAAGTTTATAAATAAAAATTGCAGAAGAATACCTTTCAAAATTCATTAATTTAACAAAAATAAATTTAAGTGAAAACTTTGCTCAAATAAATGTTTTTCTTCACAAAATGAATGTTGAACATTGGCGACAAGAGCCAACATATAGCATTTGGAGCTTTTTTTGTTAATTTATTTATATTTTAATTAATTATCTATTTTTCAGGTGATATTGGAGCAACAATGAGTCTTTTCCTCGGAGCAAGTTTGTAAATAAATAAAATTGACTTTGGATGTAGTGCCCGACCTGTCATTAAAATGAGTGTAATATCCAGTCATATTATATCTAGAGTTGGAGGTCCGATCCGAAGGATCGAGTCGGGCATCGAATTTTGGCCCGAAAAAGACCCGATCGGGCCGGTCCAATAAAAATAAGGCCAATAAATGACTCGAACCTTGGCCCGACTCGAAAACCTCAACCCCAATTATACCCCATGAGCGCTACATCTAGAATCATTTCACCCCAAAAGCAATTATTTTTAAAATAAATTATTTAGGCATGTTAACAATTATTGAAGTCTTATATTTTGTTTTGAGCAGTTCACGTATTTATAAGACAATAGAAGTTTGGAGACAACAAAAATTCACTGGAAATAATGAACAAATAAAAAAGACAAAAATGATAAATAAAAAGTAAAAATTAAAAAATGATTTTTAATTTACTAATTTACCTATGTTTTTACCCATATAACTACCTTAAGTTCTTATTTTTTTATTTTAGGTTGTTGAGTAAAAATCCAGAAGAAAATGTGTGAAGAAAATAAAAATTTTTGGAATTCTTATAAATTTTACACATATATTTTTTTCAGTGCTTAGAAATTTCAGAATAACACGTGAAAGGATGGTTACTCCTTTGTGTTCGAATAAATTAATTTTTTATTTGGTAAAAAATATTAAAATTTGTATCTCAATTGGAAAAAAAGTTATCATTTTTTCCAGAATAGAGAGAAATGAGATGGTTACCTAAGAGATGGCCTACGAGAGGACCTAACCATCTTCTTACTCTGGGCCCTGGTTGGGAGGTTAAATAAAATACTTGATTTCATAAAACATTTCATATTTAAATTTTAATTTAACGAGTTTGTTAATCAATAGAAATTGAAAAAAATTTTAATTTAAAATTTTAAAAAAAATAAAAAAATTTTTTTTATTTATTTTACAAATATTTTTTTATTTGATTAACTGCAATTTTATACGTAATTCTTTTCTAAACGTGATCCCACTAAAACTTAACATAAATCGAGAGGAGTTTTTAATCAAATTTTCATATTGGGATTAGAGGTTGGAGGGAACAATCGAGTCTAGTCGGAAGAAACTAAAGCCAGATTGATTCGATGATGGCACGATCGTGGTTTTATGAGGTAATCCGGTTTGGGTTTACTCCGTTAGAAAAGTCAGCTAAAGAGTTGAAGAATTATCAAATGTTTTAGAAACCATTGATCTTGGGCAAGATTTAGAAAATGGATATATAAGTGATTCATCGATTTTTGATTATTAAAGATTTTGTATGAATAATTTTAAATTTTGGTAAATTTGATTGATTAGTTTCTGGCCTATGAAAAATAGAATGGCCACCTCCATTTGAATGGCCCTCTAATTGAATGGCCCTTTTTTAGGGGCATTGAAAAATAGAATGGCGGCCATATTACTAGAATAAATACGGATATTAAAAAGGATTATAAGTCACGTTGGATGAGCATAAAGAAAATTTTTTGTGTACATTCTAGGCCTATGGAAATTTAAGTTAAAGATTTTCATGAAATTAAAGGATTGTAGAAAAAATTATCTCTAATTAAATTTTTTATTGAATTTTTTTAATCTTTACATCCACGAAAATGTTATCATTGAAGAGTTCCTTCTATGATGCATAATAATAGAGAAGGTGGACTTGTAGCATATTACTAATAAAGAAAACGATAATTATAGTCATAAGTATAATGAAAGAAAGAAATATTTTGAACATAGTAGTAATATTAATAAAAATATATATTTTCTTTAGATTCATTAACTTTAATTCCAAAAAACTTTTTTAAAGTCACAAGTCATATTTTTTTGATTAAAAAAATAAAAATTTTTATTTAAAATAAAAAATTATTTCTAAACTATTTGCTTAACTGCAATTTTTATAATTCTTTCTAAATTTGGAGATTTAATTTATTGCCAAATTTTTGTATTAGCCAAAATTTAGAAGAATGCTTTCGGCTCTAAATTTCTTTCATGTTGACTTTTAAAATGACTTTTAATGTTGGCTTTTAATTTTTAATTTCGTGTTGGCTTTTAAAATCAACCGGGAATATTTACGTAAATCTCCGAATTTAGAAAAAGAATTTTTAAAAATTAAAAAATATTATTATAAAAATGCCCATCGAATTTAAATAAATTTTTCTGAATCTCTGACATTACAGAGTATTTCTAAATTATTTGCTCAACTGCAATTTTATAATTCTTTTCTAAACATTTGTATTTAAATATAGATTAGAGATAGAAAGAAAATTTTTTTTGTTTGGATTCTAATTTTATAAAAATATTTTTTTAATAATTTTCCTCCCTTTACCGCTCAATTATGGAGTTAGAGATTTTCAGAATGAAAAATAATTTAAAAGTCAAATCCATTACTCTCTCAATTCTTGACACATTTGAAACCGTCACCGTTAGAAAAGAATTATTAAAATGCAGTTAATCAAATAAAACTAATTTTAAAATAAATAAAATAAATAAAAATTAAAAATGCATTTAAATAATGATAAGAAACCTTCAAACAATTCATTTTTAATTGAATATTTTCTTTATTTCATAATTAAAATTATATATAAATTTTAATTCATAATTTAGATGGCAAATCAAAATAGGCTACTATGAGAGTTTAAGCTTAGTTATGGATTATATAGTAGGTGGTAAGTTTACAGCGAGCGAATTAAACTAAATCTAGGAGTTTGGGTGTTTTAAATTATTTTTCTTGTTGGGATTATAGATAGTTTAGGCGTAAATAATTTTTAAATAAAAGAAAGATGTATATTTTTTGATTAAATCTTTATGAATATTTCCTATTATTAAATCTATAATTTTTAATTTATATTTTTTAAACTTGATAGGGCCCTTAAAAATTGAAAAAAAAACTCTAAAAATTCAAACCTATTTTTAAAAATTGTCCCTAGTTTGTCACTATTTGAATTTTTTCAACCTACATATTTAAGCTTTTTTCGAACCTTTTAGTTACATATTATCAGGTTTTTGAATCTAAAAAACTCGCTCCGTTTATAATTCTTGAATAAAAGATTTTATTTTAGAGCAATATTTTTAAATAAATATTATAAAATTTAAATTCCAACAAAAATGACTCCTCCAATCAACATTTATATTATTCTCTTTTCAACTTTTTTAATATTTCAACTAATTAACGGCAATCAAGAGCAATGTATTGGAATTGGAGGTCCATGTGATTACGACAACGATTGTTGTGGTGATAGAAATATAGGATGTGTTGGCGCTTGGGAACCTACAAAAAAGAAAGGAATTTGTAAGAAAACTTGTGATTTAGTAGGAGCACATTGTACTTCAAGTACGAGTTGTTGCAACTATTGTACTAACAACAAATGTTCGTACGTCTCAGATATGCCTGGATGATTTAAATGTTTTTATTAATTTCATTTTCTTTCTAAATTACAATTAACTTGTATTTCGGGTCTAAATATCTCTCAACTATCCTTTAAATCGGAACTACAAATAAAATTTTATTACTAAATACCTGCTATGTACATAATATACCTATAATATTTATATAATTTATCCGTTCATTATTCATACTAAAAATAATAAAAATTAAAATATTTATTAAATGTCAGTGGTGATTTTTTTGGAGAATAAATTTAATAAACAAAATTTTTGGAAATTTATTTTTGTTATATGTTAGCGGCGCAAAAGTCGCAGAACCATTATATTTTTTAACCAGCCTTTTTGAAACCTAGGTGAAACAAGTTTGTTGTTCAATGAAATATCAGAGTGTTTAAATTTTATTATTTGAAGAAAATTTTAAAAGATTTTAAAAAAATATTAGGTAAAGTTGAACTTCGTTCCCCTCTCCTTTTCATTCCTAAAATGAGGTAAAAACATTACTCCATGGCTTTGAGTGCCACTTTCACTTATAACCAATACCAAGGTATATGTACCACACTTCTATTTATCCTATTCCAAAAAATTTCTATAGGAATTTAAAGCCCTAGTCATCTAGAGCTATGGTGCACGTGCACCCTGCTGGACCATTAATGAAAAAAGTAGAAGGGGTACTTATATTCATAGAGTAATATTTATAACTCATTTTAAGTCAACCATTTTTATATTTTGAGGAAAAAAGTATGGAGAATTAAGTGTTTAATTTTACCTTTTTAGTTTTACAAATATTTTTTAGTTATTTGATTATCTGCAATTTTATAATTCTTTTCTAAACGTGGGATTTAAGTAATGATTTTAAATGAATCTAAAAATAGATCGAGAAGAGTCTTTAAATAATTTTTCAAGTTTTTCTTTTCTTTAATTTATTCAACAATTTTTTGGAATTGTCCTTTTTCTAGTTTTGGTAAGAGTTGCCAACATATAGCATTTGGAGCTTCTTTTGTCAGTTTTTATTTTTAGAGTTTAATTAATTAGAGTTTAATTAAACGACGTCAAGAAGATGTCGTCGTGGTGTTGACGAAGACGTCAAGATGATGTCGTCGTGTTGACGATGACGTCAAAAAGATGTCGTCGTGTTGACGACGTCGTCAAGATAACATTGTTGGCAATGTTTATGGACGATTTGCTTGAATGTATATTTAATGACGTCAAAAATACGAGTGCTCAAATGCTTAGAGAATTTCAAGTTTTTAACCAAAAAATAAATTAAAATTTTGTATTAAATCAAAGAGAGCAATGAATGATCTCCAATCATCCCAAACAATGCTTTTTCGGAAAGAATTGCCTGAATATTTGTCAAATTTTGAATTTGGGACAAAATTTGTACAGTTAAGTTTATGAATAAAAATTGCAGAAAAATACTCTTTCGAACTTCAAAAATTAAACATAAAAGTTTTCAGTGAAAACTTTGCTCAAATAAATGTTTTTCTTCACAAAATGAATGTTGAACATTGGAGACAAGAGCCAACATATAGCATTTGGAGCTTTTTTTGTTAATTTATTTATATTTTAATTAATTATCTATTTTTCAGGTGATATTGGAGCAACAATGAGTCTTTTCCTCGGAGCAAGTTTGTAAATAAATAAAATTGACTTTGGATGTAGTGCCTGATTTGTCAGTAAAATGAGTAATATCCGATATTATATCTAGTGTTAGGGGCCCGGTCCGGTCCTTCGGACCGGACCGGTCATCGATTTTGGCCCGAAAAAGACCCGATCGGGCGGTGCGATAAAATTGAGGCCAAAAAAATGACTCGAACGTCGGCCCGACTCGAAAACCTCAACCCTGATTATATACCATGAGCGCCCCAATAGCAATTATTTTTAAAATAAATTATTTAGGCATGTTAACAATTATTGAAGTCTTATATTTTGTTTTGAGCAGTTCACGTATTTATAAGACAATAGAAGTGTGGAGACAACAAAAATTCACTGGAAACAATGAACAAATAAAAAAGACAAAAATGATAAACAAAAAGTAAAATTTTTTGAAAATGATTTTTAATTTAACTGCGTTTTTACCCAAATACCTGCCTTAAATTTTTATTTTTTATTTTAGGTTGTTGAGTAAAAATCCAGAAGAAAATGTATAAAGAAAATAAAAATGTTTGAAATTCTTATAAATTTTACACATATATTTTTTTCAGTGCTTAGAAATTTCAGAATAACACGTGAAAGAATGGTTACTTCTTCATGTTCGCATAAATTAATTTTTTATTTGGTAAAAAATAATAAAATTTGTATCTCAATTGGAAAAAAAGTTATCATTTTTTCCAGAATAGAGAGAAATGAGATGGTTACCTAAGAGATGTCCTACGAGGGGACCTAACCATCTTCTTACTCTGGGCCCTGATTGGGAGTTTAAATAAAATACTTGATTTATTAAAACATTTCATATTTAAATTTTAATTTAACGAGTTTGTTAATCAATAGAAATTGAAAAAAATTTTAATTAAAAAATTAAAAAAAATAAAAAAATGTTATCATGGAAAAAATGTTACCACGAAAATGTTATCATGGAAGAGTTCCTTCTATGATGCATAATAATAGAGAAGGTGGACTTGTAGCGTATTCCTAATAAAGAAAACGATAATTATAGTCATAAGTATAATGAAAGAAATAAATATTTTGAATATACCGTATTTTTCCCAATAGAAGCGCATGCGCTTCTATTTTTCAACCTCCTCGTAGACTGCGCTTCTATTGGGACGTGCGCTTGTATTTTACAACTCCTAAATGGAATTCCAATTCCACAAACCCAAAAGCCTTTTGCAACATCTCATGCTTCAACTATACATCCCAAATAAAATTTCATTGGTGGTTACCCAAATAAGCAAGCGTTCTGAGAACAATGATTGCCCAATAATTGCTCTCAAATATTCGATTGAGAGGGCATCATCCATTCAGCTTTTTCCACTCCATCCCCTAGGCAAGATAGAAAACAAGTTTTCCCCAATTATAACTCAAAAAAACCTTAAATCTGTCGAAAAGAAAGGGATAAGAAAGAGAGAGGGATTACAAAAAGAGAGGGATTACATGAAAGTAGACAAAGAGAAGATTGAAAAAACTTATCGATAGAATAAGATTTGCGTTTTCGAGTATAGCACCGGCTACGTTACTTGAACCGGTTACATTACCTAAACATCAATTTTCTAACCGGAAGTAGAATCCATTTTTTATAAAAATGTGTAAATTCTTAATCTAAATGTAAATGAATAATACTTGTTTAAAATAGCAACTGTGTAACAGAGTAATTGCTCAAATAAGTATTTCATAGGGTGCGCTTATAATAGGACGTGCGCTTCTAATGGGACCTGCGCTTGTATTTTTCAACCTCCTCGTAGACTGCGCTTCTATTGGGACGTGCGCTTCAAATGGGACGTGCGCTTCTATTGGGAAAAATACGGTATGTATGTAGTAATATTAATAAAAATATATATTTTCTTTAGATTCATTAACTTTAATTCCGAAAAACTTTTTTAAAGTCACAAGTCATATTTTTTAGATTAAAAAAATAAAATTTTTATTTAAAATAAAAAATTATTTCTAAACTATTTGCTCAACTGCAATTTTTATAATTTTTTCTAAATTTGGAGATTTAATTTATTGCCAAATTTTTGTATCAGCCAAAATTTAGAAGAATGCTTTCGGCTTTTAAATTATTTTCATGTTGACTTTTAAAATGGCTTTTAATGTTGGCTTTTAATTTTTAATTTCGTGTTGGCTTTTAAAATCAACCGGGAATATTTACGTAAATCTCCGAATCTAGAAAAAGAATTTTAAAAAATTTAAAAATATTAAAATTAGAGATAAAAAGAAATCTTTTTTGTTTGGATTCTAATTTTATAAAAATATTTTTTAAATAATTTTCCTCCCCTTTACCGCTCAATTATGGAGTTAGAGATTTTCAGAATGAAAAATAATTTAAAAGTCAACCCCATTACTCTTTCAATTCTTGACTCATTTGAAACCGTCACCGTTAGAAAAGAATTTTTAAAATGCAGTTAATCAAATAAAAATATTTTTTAAATAAATAAAATAAATAAAAATTAAAAATGCATTTAAATAATGATAAGAAGCCTTCAAGCAATTCATTTTTAATTAAATATTTTCTTTATTCCATAATTAAAATTAGATAACAATTTAAATTCATAATTTAAATTGTAAATCAAAAGGCTCTAAGCAGGGTTGAATTGCGCATATGTTGAGGAAATATGGAATTAATGATTTTTTTTTTTTTCTTTATCGACACAAATAAAATGTGAAACAATAAAATAAATACTCCTGGATCCACAAGGATCACTTATGGAGATAGTTAAATTATACAAAAAAAGTTTTTAAAATACATATGGTAATACAGTTAAAAAAATACATAGTTAAAAAAATGGACTCCACAGAAAAAAATATATAAATGCAATAAAATTATACACAATAAAACGAATGTCATAAAAAAAAATAGCTTAAATAAAAATTTTTAACTAAATGGTCAACTAAAATTTAATTAAAATTAACTTAAAACAGTGAACATTTTGGGTAGGATTTATTTTATTGATACATTTATTTTGTTAATACATTATGCTCCATTAACCTCTTGCTATAAATTAGAATCTTCGGCGATTAATATTTTATCTAAAAGTTTTCTAAATTGAGGAATAGTATTGATTTTTTCCATTTCATTTTTAGGAAGTTTATTCCATTTATCTATAACTCTATGTGAGAAGAAATGATTATTTTTGGCTTGTTTTTTAAATAATTGATATCTATGCAAGCGCGGATTATTTCTATTAGGTTTTGAAAATATTTGTTCAGGCTTTATTTTATAGAAACCCTTTATTATTTTGAAGGTTGTCATAAGATCTGTTCTTATACGACGGATATTAGTTGGTGGGAGATTGCATCTTTTTAGTCTTTCGTTATACCCTATTTTCTGATATTTGTATTTATATCTTAAAATTCTCCTTGTAAAGCTTTTTTGCGGTCTTTCTAATTGTTTATTAAGATATTCTAATTTGGGGCTAAAATTTTCAGTGGAATACTCCATAAGTGGTCTTACGTATGTTTTGAATGCCTTTACATATGTTTCTATTGGTAATGTTTTGGGTAATATTCCTAGGATATTATTTAGCCTTATAAACGAGGACTTAGTAATTTTTGCTATATGTTGATCGAATTTAAGTCTGTTATCTATGTATATACCTAGGTCTCTTATGTTAGTAACTTCTTCGATTTTTTCACCACTAATCTCATAATTAAAATTAATTTTATTGTATATTTTTAAAACCTTTACTTTTGAAATAGAGAATTCTAGCTTATTATCTTTTGCCCATCTATATGCATTGTTTATAGCTTTTTGTAGCTCTATGCAATCTTTTTCTGACTTTATTTCTGAATAAAGCTTGAAATCGTCTGCATATAATTTTACTTTAATATTTTTTGGAATGTGGCTGGGCAGGTCATTTATATATATCAAAAACAGCAATGGTCCCAGGACAGTCCCTTGGGGGACACCTGTTTTAGGCAAAAATGGTTCAGAGTAATTCTCATCTATTTTTACAATATGAGATCGATTATTTAGGAAATTTGCTACCCATCTAATTGTTAACCTATCTATTTTAATTTCTTGTAATTTTCTAATAAGTATTTCATGATCTACTTTATCAAATGCTTTTTGAAAATCAAAATATATGACGTCTGTACCTATTTTTCTATCAAGTGAGTTGAACCAGTCTTGCATAGATGATAAAATTTGGAGTGTACACGAGCTTTTGGGTAAGAACCCAAATTGCTCTTCAGCGATTATTTTATGTTTGTTAAGGTGTTCTAATAGCTTATTCGCTAGCAAGCGCTCAAAAACTCTACAAACTGGAGATGTTAATGCAATTGGTCTATAATTTTTTGGGTCGTTTACTGAACCCTTCTTTTTAAATATCGGTATAATGTGTGCTGTTTTCCATAATTCAGGGACTATTCCGGTCTTAAATGTATTGTTATATAGAATTGATAGAGGAAGAGCTAATGGGGTAGCACATTTTTTTAGGAAATATTGATTGATATTCTCAGGACTATGGGATAATTTATTTGGGAGCTTCTTGAGTAATTTTTCTATTATATATGGTTCAAATATAATTTCTTTATGATTTTCATCACCAGCTTCGATGCTTATTTGTTTATAGTTTATATCTCCGCTAACTATTTCTTCAAAAATTGTTTTAAATTTTTTAGCTTTGTCAGTGTCTAAGAATATTGGGTCACTTTCCTCAGATTCCTTAAGTATTGGTATCCCAGAATTAAATTTGTTTCTTTTCACCAATTTATATATCTCCCCTATATGCCCTGATCCTATCTTTTTAGATATATGTTTGTTTTTATATTTTTCTATTTCTAATTTACATTTAATTTCAAGACTTTTATAATTGTCTTTATTGATCTCGCCTAATTTAAACTTTTTCCATGCCAAAGCCTTTTGTTTAATGGTATCTCTAATCTCTTTAGGATATTTCAAGGGTTTTTTTTCACCGAATTTCTTAAATGGGATGAATTTTTGAATTGTTTGTGTTATTATAAGATTTAGCATTTCGGCCATTTCTGACGGAGTTTTGTTATTAAATAAATTGGACCAATCGTATTGAGCTAAATACCAATTAATTGTTTTATATTTTCCCTTCTTAAATATTAATACTTTTCTTTTCTCTTTAGATTTTACTTTTTCTATTGGAAAAATTACTTCAAATGATATTGGTTTGTGGTCACTTACAACTAGATCATTAATTATATTATATTTTTCAATTAATTGTTTATTCTGGAGGATTAAGTCCAGAAAAAAAAAAAAACTTATCGATAGAATAAGATTTGCGTTTTCGAGTATAGCACCGGCTACGTTACTTGAACCGGTTACATTACCTAAACATCAATTTTCTAACCGGAAGTAGAATCCATTTTTTATAAAAATGTGTAAATTCTTAATCTAAATGTAAATGAATAATACTTGTTTAAAATAGTAACTGTGTAACAGAGTAATTGCTCAAATAAGTATTTCATAGGGTGCGCTTATAATAGGACGTGCGCTTCTAATGGGACCTGCGCTTGTATTTTTCAACCTCCTCGTAGACTGCGCTTCTATTGGGACGTGCGCTTCAAATGGGACGTGCGCTTCTATTGGGAAAAATACGGTATGTATGTAGTAATATTAATAAAAATATATATTTTCTTTAGATTCATTAACTTTAATTCCGAAAAACTTTTTTAAAGTCACAAGTCATATTTTTTAGATTAAAAAAATAAAATTTTTATTTAAAATAAAAAATTATTTCTAAACTATTTGCTCAACTGCAATTTTTATAATTTTTTCTAAATTTGGAGATTTAATTTATTGCCAAATTTTTGTATCAGCCAAAATTTAGAAGAATGCTTTCGGCTTTTAAATTATTTTCATGTTGACTTTTAAAATGGCTTTTAATGTTGGCTTTTAATTTTTAATTTCGTGTTGGCTTTTAAAATCAACCGGGAATATTTACGTAAATCTCCGAATCTAGAAAAAGAATTTTAAAAAATTTAAAAATATTAAAATTAGAGATAAAAAGAAATCTTTTTTGTTTGGATTCTAATTTTATAAAAATATTTTTTAAATAATTTTCCTCCCCTTTACCGCTCAATTATGGAGTTAGAGATTTTCAGAATGAAAAATAATTTAAAAGTCAACCCCATTACTCTTTCAATTCTTGACTCATTTGAAACCGTCACCGTTAGAAAAGAATTTTTAAAATGCAGTTAATCAAATAAAAATATTTTTTAAATAAATAAAATAAATAAAAATTAAAAATGCATTTAAATAATGATAAGAAGCCTTCAAGCAATTCATTTTTAATTAAATATTTTCTTTATTCCATAATTAAAATTAGATAACAATTTAAATTCATAATTTAAATTGTAAATCAAAAGGCTCTAAGCAGGGTTGAATTGCGCATATGTTGAGGAAATATGGAATTAATGATTTAGATTTTTGTTTAAATTTTTGATGACTATTGCCTTGTATTAAATTTATAATTTTATTTTAGAATAATATTTTTAAATTAATAAATTAAAATTCTATCAAGAATGCCCACTCCAATCAACATTTATATTATTCTCTTTTCAACTTTTTTATTATTTCAACTAATTAACGGCAATCAAGAACAATGTATTGGAGAAGGAGGTAAATGCGATTACGACATCGATTGTTGTGGTGATAGAAATATAAGATGTGTTGGCGCTAAGGAACATCCAAAAAAGGAAGGAATATGTAAGAAAACTTGTGATTTAGTAGGAACACCTTGTAAACCTGCTCCTCATAATCCCGATGGTAATTGCTGCAACTATTGTGATAGTAAATATACCAAAAAATGTTCGTACAAAGATACTTCTGAAGACTAATATCGTAATTTTGTATCCTTTTTTTCTAAATTAAAATTAAATTGTATTTCGGGTCTACATATTAACCTAACTATCCTTTAAATCGGAGCTACAAATATGTAATATGTTATTACTAAATACATAACAAGGATCATGCCGACCAGATTCTCAAAAATCAGGAATTCCCGATTTTCAAAATTTGTAATCCATTTTTTACGTCGGCATGATACCTGCTACATAATAAATATATAATATTTATATAATTTATCCATTAATTCAGGGCTCCGATCGACAAAATGCCACTCAAAAGTATCAAAATCTTGTAAAAAAAGTACATAGGGAGAAAATTTGCAAATAAAAAGTACCAGGCCCGTAGCCAGGATTTTTTTTCGGGGGGGGGGGGGCCAAGGGGGGAAAATTTTTTTCGCGCCAAATTTTTGGCGCCGAAGGCGCCAAAAATTTTTATTTTCAGCGCCGCAGGCGAAAATTTTGAGAATTTTGGAGGTCCTTAAGCCAGATTTCTTCGTTTTTTCAAAAATGTTGATAAAAAAGTACATACTTTCAAAAAAGTACAAATTCAATTTCGGAAGTACGAAGGGTGATAAAAAAGTACATACTTTCAAAAAAGTACAAATTCAATTTCGGAAGTACGAAGGGTGATAAAAAAGTACAATACTTTTAAAAAAGTACGAATCGGAGCCCTGCATTAATTAATCATACTAAAAATTAGATAAATAAAATTATTTATTGAATGTTTGTGGTGATTAGTTTGGGAAAAAATTTAATAAAAAAATGTTTGGAAATTTAAGTTTGTTTTATGTTATATTTTTTTAACCAGCTAGGTTAAAACTTACAAGAAACAACTTGTTGTTCAATAGAAATATCAGAGGTTTAAATTTTTTATTTGAAGAAAATTTCCATATAAAAAATTTAAAAATTCCATTTCTTGGTTTGCAAATAATTTTTAAAATTATTTGATTAACTGCAAATTTATAATTATTTTCTAAACGTGGGATTTAAGTAAAGATCAGGCTTTCAAATGAATCTAAAAATGGGCATAAATCGAGAAGAGTTTTTAAGTAATTCTTTATGTTTTTCTATTCTTCTTTCATTTTTTGATCAATTTTTTGGAATTGTTCTTTTTCTAGTTTTGGTGGCACACTATTTTCCCTTCAAAACACCATAAACGTAAATCTGTAGTAGAGCTCGACCCCGGGCCGGGCCCGGGACCGGGTTTTCCGGGCCCGGTAGCCCGGAAACCGGGTATTTTGATAAAATCCGGTTTTTCCGGGCTTCCGGGTTTTCGAGGTTTTTAGCCCGGAAGCCCGGCCCGGGTCGCCTCTGAAAACCCCGGGCCCGGCCCGGGTCCACTTTCGAGTAAATTTTATAAAATATTCTAAAGTTTTGGTCAATTCTGACTCCTTAAACACCCAAAAATTGAAAAATTTTCGCCTACGGCGCTAATAAAACAAATCCATTATTCAAAGAACTTGTATTCCCTTGTCTTATCCTTCGAAATCATGGCTAGGCGTTAAGTTATTGAGAATTGGGCATCCTAATGAAGGGATATTGAGGGATTAGAAGAACTAAAAAGGATTTATCAGGATTAATTAAGATTCCTGGTTTTTGTAAGGATTAAAATAGATTAGGGGTTTTAGTTGAGATATCGAGCTTGAGACATCGATGGATTGGGGATTAATAACGATATAAACATATCTAAGGGAATATTGACAGATTTAAGGGAATATTTTTTTATTTCGTTTCGATTAGAGATATTAAAATTTGTATTTCGACAGCCTATTCCAAATTGCGGATATGCCCTTTAGTCCTGCAAAATCCCCCGATAATATTTAGACCCTAATTTATCCCAGAGATCCTCCTTAATCCTACTAATCCACATTAACCCCACCAAATCACAGATTAAATAATTATAGAGAAGATATCTGGATTTAGAGTATATAGGGGACCATATCATCCTTGTAAATCGCTAATATTCCCTCCAGACCCGCCAAATCCACCAATATTTCCCTTAATTCATTAAATTCACATTAATATCTCTAAATCCTTTGAATAAACACGTATAGATGAAAGATGAAACCAAATTTTAATTATTTCTATTCAAAATAAGAAAAATTTCACGAAAAAACAAAAATTTGACCATTTATAAAATTTTGAAAAAACCGGGTCCGGGCCCGTGTGTAAAAAAACCGGGTTTTCGAGTTTTCCGGGTTTTCGATGTTTTAGCCCGGAAAACCCGGCCCGGGTCAACTTGGAAGAAAAAAACCCGGATACCGGGCCCGGCAAAGTGAAAATGTCGAGCTCTAATCTGTAGATAAATTTGCAAGATAGTCAAAAATAATTTTTAAGTTCGCCTTCGACGTTTTTTTTATTTTTATTTAAATTTTTGCTTTTTTAAACATAGTGTTTGCATTTCATACCTCGTGTTTTTTGTATAAATATGTAAATAAAAATAAAATATTTATGTTCAACCTCTAATTCCAACATGAAAAATAACATATACATTGTAAGAAAAAATCATTTAGAAAAAATCATAAATTTTAGTTTAGCAATTTAGTGTTTAGACGCAAATGTTTTTAACTTAAAGATGTTTGCATCAATTTTGATGAATATTATATAAAGAAAATTTATTCTCGACAATACTTTTTAAAAATAAATTTTAAACAGTTTAAAATTTAAATTCCAACAAAAATGTCTACTCCAATCAACATTTATATCATTCTCTTTCCAAATTTACTAATATTTCAATTAATTAATGCCAATCAACAAGAATGTGTCGGTGAAGGAGGTAATTGCCAGTACGACAACGATTGTTGTGTTGATAAATATATAACATGTGTTGGCTTCTCGAAAACTAGAAAAAAGAAAGGAACTTGTCAAAAAGTTTGCGATTTAGATGGGGCAACTTGTAAACCTACTTCTGAAAGTGAACGTGATAATTGTTGCAACTGTTGTGATAATATTACCAAAAAATGTTACTCCGAAGATACTTCTGATTAAAATGCAACAGCAAACTTCCTGTAGTAAAAGAACATTACTTTACACTACTTTAAACACTATTATAGTTCAAAAACTTATTTTTCTTGAAATTTTAATCTTTTTAGCTTAACCATTACATAACAACGATCCTGAAAGTTCCGATTTTCAAAAATCGGGAATTCCCACAATCTTTAATTTATTATTTTGGTGGCAGTATCCATCCTGATTGAATTTTTTATATTTATATAATTTATCCTTTCATTAGTCATACTGGAAATTAGATAAATTTATTTATTGAATGTCCATGGTGATTTGTTTGGAGAATAAATTTAATAAATAAAAAAATGTTTGGAAATTTATTTCTGTTAAATGTAATATTTTATTTAGTCTAAAATAAAAAGATAAAAAAAACTAATTTCCAAAATAAACAAATTTACAAAAAAATTCAGACTTGTGTATCAATTTTTATCCTGTTCTGCTCTAAGTTTAATAAAATTAAATATTTCTTCATTTTTTAATTAAAAAATATATTTTTAGTTTTTAATATATTTTATCTTTGTATATTTAGTATTTAAAAGTACTTTTTTTGGCACTTTATTTTTAGCACCAAAAATAAAAATTTTTAGCAACCATTTCTCAATATCAAAAATTCTCCAAGGAATTATTAACAAAAAAAGTAAAAAATCACAAAAAAGGGCACCCATTATTTCAAGAACGGCAGCCAAATCTCATGAGAATTATTTTCTATTTTTTCTCTAGCAAAACCGCAATTTTTATTTTTAGAATATTTTTGTCAGAATTTGTTTGTTTTTATTTTTACCATTTTTCTCCAAAAAATGTACAAAATATATCCATAATTTATCCTTTTTGACAAATATTTTTTGGAGATAACAAAAAGGAAATGCTTACCTATGTAATATGAGAGTAGAGAGCTGACTCAGGTTATTTGTTAAAAAAAGCTGTCCAGAAGTGTTTGTCTCATTTATACCATAAATTCTCTGATAGAAGCACGCCTACGAGAGGCTCGAAAAATATAAGCACTGTGCTTTAATTGGAATTTGTTTTGTCAGGAGAGTTAACAAGGATTGTTGAATTATTTAGGAACTCAGAAAGAAATATGTATTCCTTAACAAAGTCGGGCTTTTAAATTTAACATTGAAATCACGATAAATATAATTAGCATTTTTATTTCAAAATAAATATATAATAGTCATTTAAAACAAAAAATTTTTCAAATCAAAATATAAACCGTTTTGTCTTAAATGACTACTAAATACATACCTAAATACAAAGCTCCAAACAACTCCATTTAATAAAATTATAGTTTGATTGGTAATTTTAATTTACAGGTTTAAATATTTATTTTTAATCTAAATAAATCATTTTAATAAAAATTTAAAAGATAAAATCAGTAGAGAGTAATTCCTGTCTCTTTTTTTGTATTTATTTATTAGATCACTTCAAATACTTACATATTTCTTTATTAAAACAATTTTGTGTAATGGACAGAAGCAAATTACCTATTTCTTTTTTATATAAATTAATTTAAAAAATTTATTTGCCAAAGAAATCACTTAAAATATTTTCGACTAATGCGCAAATTCAAGTAATAAAAACAAACATTAATAAAAAATAAAGTCCCAAAATCCTTCAAAAATATTTGCTTTAATCCAAAGCACTGAATTGAGTGGTACTTGAATTAATAAAAAAAAATTTTATTAAGATTAAAAAAAGTAAAAGTACTAAATTATTTAGTTAATTTATTCGAGAATTTTTAATTAAAAACAATTACATAATTATTCACCGCAAAATTTTATTTTTATTAATTTTTAGAAACCGAGACGAGACAAGATATCGAAAAAAATCTCGGTTATCTAGATCGATATTCTGTGAGATAACGATTTCCTCCCAGTCCGATCTTTAATTAACATAGGAGTCATGAAAAGGTCCCAACCCAAGGTATCTCGAGACCATGGTACCGCCGAGCTATAACATAGTTCAAAATCCGGGGATTCTGAACTATGTTTTTTTCGAATCCGGGACGCCCTGGTGTTTTGAAGCTCGCGAAGAGCTAAATTGGACCATATCAGGATGTCCCGAATTAGATAATTTTGAATGAAGTTACTTCTCGGTACCTTGACCTGCTCCCCGTGGAAATCGAGTTATTAATCAAAAAAATTTTTTTTATTAATTTATTAAAATTAATTTTTTAAAGTAAAAAATCTAAACTTTTAGTATTAAAAGTTTATTTTTATTGTAATTTATCTTATTACTACATAAACTTCATCCACTATTTTGATATAAATATATGTATATTTTTTTACTTCAAAAATATTCTTCCTTCAAAAGTAAAAATGTTCGACTATAAATTTACTTCTTCTTCTCCCCCTTTTTCAATAAAAATATAAAACAACAGCCGCTTGTCTGGATCTGCAGAAAAAATATTTTGTGGTTACAATTTTTTTTTGAGATATTTTTATTTTTTTACTAACAAGCTAACGAATGTTTAAAGCCTGTAGAAAAAACCAAAACAAATAAAATATAATTTTTGCCAGTCCAATCAAACGAAGATTTGATCAATTTATTCAAAACAAAATTTGATTAAAGATTTTAATTTTCTTGGTTTGAACAAGGTCCTGAGCAAAGCCAAAAATAGAATAACTCCTATTAATTTTGGGGTTTGCGGGTCAAATTAACTTAATGAAATTAACTCAATCAAGTTAGTTTCTTATTTCGAAACTAAATTCAGTTTACACGGTCGTCTGTTTATTTTTCGGGCTATTAGAAATACATATTTTCTTGTGTTTGAATTAGGGTTGCACCCCCGTTCGCTCGGGGGCGGGCATCTCGGGGTACAGGGTTTACGAATTGTTTCGGGGTGGGGTTTGGGTCAGGGAAATTTTGAAAAAATCTTTCGGGAACGGGGTCGGGTGCAACTCGAGTTTGAATAGATTACTACTAACATTTACATATCTACCAAAATATAAAACATCAACATAAATATTAAATCTTAAAATTCCAATCTCTCTATTAAATTCTCTTAAAATAAAAACCATATATGTATTAAACATTAATATTTAGCCTCCCCCAACTTTTTATAATTTTAATCTAAACTCTCACAATCCCCCGAAAATTAATTTTTTCGGGGACTTCCACAACAAAGATTTCTTCCTCTTTTATCCCTCAGAAATACATTAATATTATTCCCCTCATTCTCTTGGATAATTTCCAAGATTGAACAGAAGGTAAAAAAAAGTTTTTCAACTTTTCCGCCTTTCCCTCTTCTTTTAAAGTTTTCTACTTTAAACATTTCTACCTCATTTATTATTTATCCTTCCATTTTATCCCAAAACAAAAATATCCCCCCTCCAATTCTTTCTGCACAATTTCTTCGATGTTTAAAGAAAAACGATCGTTCTATCAGGCTGTACAGATCTGTCGGCCTTTTTTCGTTTCCCTCCTTTCTCCCCTTTCACATTTTTCACCTTCAATTCCCCGCCTCATCAATTCCATCTCTGGTTTTGTTGTTGTCCACCCTTATTTCCGTTCCTCACCTTTCGCACGAATAATGTATTACATTTTCCCATAACAAATGACAACAACCAATGTTTTTTTGCTTAAAGTCCAATTTTTACTGATGTCCTATTTAAGGTAATAAATATTGTTTGTAAGAAAAAGGGACTTTCTTTTTATATTTTTTGAGGGATATTCTTCTGAAAATTAACCTTGAGAGCCCTTGAACCTGAGTTTGATATTAGTAATTTGCTTAGAGAACAAGGTGATCTACTATCTAAAAGTTTGATCTATTATTTTAACTGTTCCCGGAGATTTTTGAGTAAATTTAATAGCTTAAAATGACCTCCTCAAATGCATCAGGTTTACCTCAACTTCAGAACATCAGTATCTTGAAAAGGACTGACTTTCTCAAAATTTATTTTATCCTTCCCAACTTTATTAAATTAAATGTGCTTTAATTAAATTAACTATCCAAATTCTGATCAGTAACTTCTCTCTCCCTTTCACTATTCTCATTCGATCGTAAATCTCTCAGTCGCTAAGAAAAATAAAATATAATCCAAATCCTCCTCCCCCCCCCCCCCAACATTCCCTCATTTTACCATTATTTTGGCATTTGTTTCTGTTCCCTCCATTCTTTATACTATTGACCTTCCTTCAAAAAGGCTTTTTCCTCTCCCTCAAATGCAAATGTGAACACTCCAATTCCCTTACCTGCAAAATTCCTGTCCCTCAACTCCGTTCCCCCAAAGGATCAATACATCCAATTGAGTCGAGAAAATTGGGAAATAGAAGATTTTTCTTCAAACTAGACTAAAATTGAGGTTATAATCTTTTAGTTCTGTTCGCCAGAATGGCGTTCCTCTCATTTTTCTTCGTCCTTTTTTACCTTCTACTCATATTTTCCACCTTTAGAACCACTGACCTAAAGCAAATTTATATTTTTTTTTCTTTAAAGTTACCAAAATGCACATACATAATAATTATTAAGAAGGAATCTTTGAATAAAGATTTAGGTAATACCAAGGCTGGCCTCCCCTTTTTTCTGTTTATCTGACCATTTTAAGCTTTTTTGCTTGACATACAATTTATTATATATCATTCGAAAGAGCTGTCCGAGTTGAGTAGAATGATACTACGATCTTTAGATTTGGCGATTCTGAACAAAATTATAGAGCTAAATCCTTTGTGGGCATGCTTTTTGTGACGTTGAAAGGGATTAAAATAGATGCTCATAACTATGTTGATTTAAGTCGGATTTCGATGATTTTAGTACCGTTCGTCTCAGCTCGAAGAGCTCTTTCGAATGGATATAATTTTAATAGAAAATGAAAAAAATAGAACAGAAAAAAGGGGGGACCAGCCTTGGTATTACCAAGATTTAACCTGAGGCCTTATTTAAGAACTATAAGTACAGCTCTTATTCTTTAATTATTTTTTTGATCGATCCTCTTCTCTATAAAATACTTTTTAGTTTCCCATCACATTTTAATCCCCCTTTTAATCAATTAAAGACAGAATTGATGACTATTGACCAAGTGTCATTAATCTTTTTACTATAGGCAATATCATTTGGTTGTCCTCGTTGATCGGCAACAACCTCCTCCTTTTTTACTCTTTTTGGTTTTTTTATCCCTCACAAATCATTCACTTGCTAAACAAATTTAGAAGAAAAAAAATTAATTAAAGAACACCTGTAGGGAGTTTCTAATTAATTTAGCGATTCAGCAAAAGTATTAAGATTAGAAAAAAACAATATTTTACTTCACCGATATCTTGGAAAAAACCAAAAGAAAATTAAAAATCACGATGTTTCTTTTATAACAAAGATTAATCTTTTTTTATTAATTTTAATCCAAAAAGCATCAAAAACTTGGAATTGGAAATATATTTTTTAGATTAAGAAAATTTTGAGACCCCCCCCCCCCTTCTCTCCCCCCCTCTCCCTCCCCCCCTCCTTCCCCACAATCTTCTATTAGCCTACTGAACATCTTCCCCTGCGCAATTTTTGCTGCGCGACTCCCACTGTGAAGAAAATTTTAAAAAAGAGAGATGAGAGAAACCATCCATTTTCTCTCCAAAAACGAACACAACACAAAAATTATTTTTACCTCAGACCCTCTTTTCATCTTTTTTTCATTTCTCATCATTATTTTCTTTTTTTTTGTATTTTTCTCATTCCTTATAGTCTCTCTAGACTTTTTTGCCAAAAGCTCAGAATGTCATCGTCCTTCTATGGGTCATCAATTTTTGCAAGAATGGGTAGATGGCGGCAATTTTTTAGGGAAGGGAGAGTATGTAATGTCCACTGCGCAGAAGCAAAAAACCAAACAATCGATTTGTAATCCAATTTCTTAATAAAATAATAAACTTTTATGCCCAAAATTTTAAAGGTTTTTTGTCTTATTTAAAATTCTGACCATGCTCGAATTCCAATTTTTTAAATTTAAATTCGTACGAATTCGTACATTATAGTATTTTAATGAACAAATAAAAATCGAAAGGAGAGACTGGAAATTCTGTGTATTTGAAATTCTGGCATTTAATTCTGTCTATTGGTCTAACAAATTCCGTTTGTTAGGCAGACCTGAAAAAACTTTCCTTATTTTTTTCACTTGCAAAATACCGAATTTCCTATAATAAACACCATGTGGCTTTATTTCTTAGCCATCCTCCATGGAGGACACTATTTCAAGATGGGATTCTAATTCAGAGTGGGGCTAGAAAATAAGGTGTTTATAATTTGAGAATTGTCTCTTTCCGAACTAGATACAAGCACACGATGTTTTGCGTTTCCTCAATTGTCTCTTGCGCTCGCCTTTTCTTTTTTCTTTGAACTCCCTCAATAAAGCCTAGTGCTTTTTCCCTCAATAAGCTTTTTCTTTTGTTTTCCTTTATTTTCTCAAAATAGTTTAGAAAAAATTCAATGTTATTGCCAAGTTTTTTAATCCCTTTTTAAGTTTCTTTCTTCTCCGCGCGACTAGCTTTTAAATATTTCATAAGCCCGCGCTTGCGAAATGCCTAAATGCCCCTTTGCAGTCAGTCGAGAGCGGCGGCGTTCCTTTCTCCGCCAGTCATTTTCCTTTTTTTATATTCTCCCCTCTCCCTCTCCCCCACACATTCATTATTCCTCTTTGCAAAAAATTATTTCGTCATCATAGGTTGTACATACATAAAATTCTCCTCCACCCTCTTCCACAAAAAAATGTTTTTTTCTCCATTATTTGTTGTACATATAATTGCCGTCTCGACTCAACAAAATTATTTTTTTTCTTGTTTTGATACAACAATGCTTTTAGTTTTTTTAATCGTTAAGAATTTCATCATAAAAAATTTCAAAATAAAATTTCAAAACTTGCAAAAGAAAAGAAAAAAATTTTTTTGCATAACAATGAAATACTTAGTTGTTAGTTTATTTTTGTTGCGCGATATTTTCCTCTTTTTTTATAAAGGAAAAAATTTTTTGGGGGTTTTAAAAATTATTCTCTAAAAATTATTTGTTTAGCCTTTTTTTTAATTTTAAATTTATTAATAGAAGCTAAACATTTGCAATTTCAATAATTAACAGAGTAATTTATTTTATATTTTATTAGCCTTGCTAATTTAAATTTTATTTAAATTTAATTCCCCCATTCAATCAATATATTCGATTTTTTATCTATTTAATTTTTAAAAGATTTTCCCCAATAGCTTTTACAGCCTTGCATATTTTATGTTTAAATGCAGTTTTTCAAGTTTTGATTTTAAATTTTTGTTGCTAGTTTTTTTAACATTTTTTGTTTTTTTAAACATTTTTTGTTAAACATTTTTTGTTTTTTTAGTTCCATGTTCATTTATTTTTTTGATGTTTTTATTTTATGAATTATCCGGCACAGTCTATAAAAATTCGAAGAATTCGATCAAAAACCTCATTTTTAGATACTTCTTGGTATTTGCATATATTAAAGGGGTGCAGCCCATGTAGGCGCGCGGCCATAACGGCGCAAAGCCATAACTTGCTTAAAAGTTTCCAAATCTTACCAAATTTAGTATTAAACAATTCCTCTCATCGATCCGGGCCCTAATCAAAATTGATTAGGGCCCGAAGTTTTCCAGCAAGTTATGGTGCGCGCGCCTACTTGGGCTCACTGACTAACTAAACTCACTGGCTAAACCCAACTCACTGGCTAACTAAAACATATCTTAAACTGACCCTCTACTATTTTAAAGTTAGGTTCGACTTCTGAAACCGCGATTTACTATAGTTTTATATTTTCTTGTTTTATTCAGTTCGACATTCCCATATTTCAAAATTTTTTAAAAATTTATTATTTTGAAATCCCCTGTCTAGCCAATTTCGAAATATTTTTATGTTGAAACATTTAATTTCTAAATTTCTTTTACCTTTTAGGGAATTTTTTAATTACAAAAATTTTTATATTTTTTTTATTTTTACTAAAATAATCTAACTTCTCATTTAATTTTTTTATTTTAAAAATTTAATTAAAAATTCATTTTTGTTGGTTATAAACCCGTTACATTCAAAATTAAATATTTTTTTTCTATATTTAATCATCGCAATTACATACTAAACTAAAAAAATCTTTTTTTTCTATTTCCTTTTTTTCATTTCTGAGATACCACCCAACAATTTATTTTTTTTAAATTTTTCTAACAAAATATAACAAAAATTCCTCAACAATACGTATGTGATTGAAAAGAAAATTAAAAAGCAAAAAGCCCCGGAGGACAAAAGAAAAGCTAAAAAAGTGCAAAAATAAAAGTATTTTTATATTTAGTAGCGGCTGTTTTGGGGGAAGAAAGGGGGAAAGTTTTAGCCTTCTGACTTGGCGCTTATCCCCCTTTTAATATTTCGCAATACAACAACCTACTCATTTGGCCAAATAGCTTTATTTATTTATTGGATAGCGATCGATTTGAATCGTCGCTTTTTCAATTTTGCTTTTTTACCTTTTTTAAAGCTTATTTTCACGCCGCCTTCACAATTAAAAAAAGCTATGATTCATTGAAATATAGTCGATTGGTTTTGCTCTTTTTTTATTGCTTTTACTTTTTTGATTTGTCCAGAAAATTGAAATTTATATGTATTTATTCGGGATCTGTCATTATTCGGGGAATTGTTTAAAAGGGAGATAAAAGGGGTCAATATTAAATGTGATAGGAGGAGACACATAGTAATTGCGGGGACAAAAACAGATTCCATATTTAGTATGTTCTAAAACATAAAAACTTTTCTTCAGTAGGACAATCCAGGACCCAATGGCCGTAAGCCGTGAAGTATATGTTCATACATTGAAGTATCCCGTATGTCCGTCCCGATATGCCTGGTTCTCATTTAATCTTTTTGTATATTCCAACTTTTACTATTTATCCTTTTTTCCCGCTAAAATCTTTTAAATAATTTAATTTTAAACTTAATTTTTGCCTTAAACTTACTTAAATCTTTTTCATGGAAAAATGTTTTTGTCTATTATGCGATCATGATTACACTTTTAACTTTTTTCCCAATCCTTTAAACTTTTTATTTTCATAACACTTGCATAATTCATTGTAATATTATGGCTTATCCTTTTGCCCTTTTTAAAGTTTAATTATTTCTCCACCCTCAATTAAATTTTTACAAATTTCCGGAATGATGCCATATTGTCTAAATTCCATCATTATTATTTTTCTTTTCCCATAATTTTATTTTTATTTAATAAAAATATTTTTTGACAGTCATTTGACCGTCTTTAGCCGCGCTATTTGACATAAAGGCGAGGAAGGGCATTTGCTTTTTAGCTATTGCGCTTTTCCTTCCCTTCCCCCTTTATTTTATTTTTCTCCCTCGTTAAAAATATTTTTTTAACAAAATTTAATATTTGCCTTTCCCCTCTTCATTTTTACTTTTTTTGATGCTTAATCGTTGCCGAAACTTTTTAATATTAAATTAAAGATCAAATAAACAAACAATGTTTTTGTGGTCAACAAATTGAATTTTAGGAGGGAGTTTGAGGGGTGAGGGGAGGGGGGAATATATTGTTGTTGTTATTGTTAGAATATTACTAACTTTCTTTTCTTTTTACTTTTTTTATTACTAAACAATTACCTCCTTTTTTATTTGGCCTTTCAATTTGACAATTTTTTAAACCAGACCTGTCCATGGACACGAATTCTGGTATCCGTATCCGGATATATACGGCGGATACAGACGCATATCCGCAGGCAATTGATAATATCTGTATCCGTGTCCATGCACAGGTCTGTTTTAAACTGGCAACTTTTATTTTGAAAAATTCTCTCCTAAATATAGATATTTATTTTAGGCTATTTTTTGGAGGATTTAAATTTTTTCTTTAACCAAAATTAATTTTTATTTTCTTCAATTTTCTTTAAACTTTTGCCAAAATTAAAAAGTTTATTTTAAATCATGCCCTTAGCATGAGTTAATTTTGCTAGACTTTTCCTTTTATTTTTAAATTATTTCAAAATTAATTTAGTAATAAGCACTTTCTCATACCCCCTTTTCAATTTATTATTTTTGGGCAATCAAAAAAAGGCGACAAAAACAAATCTAAAAAAGGAGATTATTCGCAATATTTTGTTTATTCAAATGTTTTTAATTTTTTACCCCTTTTTACCCTTTAGTCTTTATTTTTGTTTAATTTGTTCGAGGCTAATAAAAACAATTTTTTAAATTATTATTTTTGGATACAGCTAGCGATTTTAAGCTCGGACAGAAAAAAAATTGGAAAAAAATTCAGAAAAAATTATTTTTACCAAAAAATGAAGAAAAAAATAATTTTGTCCTTTAACTTGTTTTTTTTTCTCTTCTAATTACCTCTACTAATCAAGCATTTATAAAGCTATCTAAATTTCTTAATTATTTAAATTTTTTGGGGGATTAAATTAAACTTCTAAATTCCAAAAACGAGTTAACTATAGAATTTCTTTTAAAGATTAAAATTGTTCGGCTACTATAAAAATTAATTTTTTTTTCTTGAAAATTTTTCGGGTTGTTCCCCGAATTTTAACTTGCTTAAATTATTTTTACAATTATGCAAGAGTATTTCTTAATCTAAAATTTCTTTTAATTATTCCTTTCAAATTTTTCGGTTACCTTTTTTAAAGTCTCACCTATCATTCCTCCTAATAAACATTCCTTCTCGAAACAACCCAAATTTTTGTTAAAATAAATTTTTGAGATGGCCAAAAAATTTTATTTTTTATTGTTTTATATCTTAACAAAATTTAATTTTCAAAAACAGGAATATTAAAAATTAAAAAGAGTTTTCCAAATTTTGTCATAAATTATTTTACGATGTTAACCACAAAATCTTTTTTTGGTTAAGATTGCGCAGTTAATGGTTTTTAAGAAA